CAATGTGTACACGGGACCTCTCTCTCTCTCCAGGCAGGCGTTCATTTAATTTACTATCTGTTTACTGTCTAGATATGTTAAAGATGTTATGACATTTATTGGTTGCTCAGCTAACCTAGATCCAGCCATGACCTCAAGTCCTTCAGTTCTTATCATATTATATTATTGATAATTTGACAACAGTTCACCTGGGAGATTTACAATACTACTACTTCAACCATGTTTAACAGTCCTAAGGAGATATTGAATACCAGAAACTCTATACCATTCTGCACACATGGAACGTGTTACTCTACTTTGAGAATGGATCTCTGCCCTAAATGGCCGACATATCCAACAATAAGTATACTGTTTTGCAATGCGGTTCACACCTTTTCAATTTTATTTTATACTTCTCAAATTTCTTGAAATACACTTAGTGCTTACGACTAAAATTTTTGATTTAGGGCTTAAAGTAGCTAAGTCTCTAACTCAATATCATTCAAAATCTTCGACATTGAAAACATGAATTATTTGTCGGCTTAAATCATGTTGTGATCTTACCGGGAAAGGATAGCCTTCTGACATCCAATATTTAAGACAAAATACACATTTTACAATTGGTACACGAATCGTGTACCATAACGCATTTCAGCGCTATTTGTAATAAGGGACTTGAAAAACGAGGCTAGGCATATTCCACAAGTCATGTCAAACGGTGACGCTATATTCTTATCTGGAGAGTATGCGCAGAATAATACCTTCGGCGTAGGCTGGAATAACCAGACGCTAGAGATTGTCATTCGATTGAGAATACTAGCGTATTTCGCCGAACCTAACTGATTAGAAATTACAGTAAAACAGAAACGATTGAATGTAAATCAATTTATATACATTCAAATTACATTACTGTATGCGTTGCGACCCATTTGTGTCAGTTTCTATAGGTCCCAAATATGAGCGATTTAGCTCCTTTAAATATCGGGGAACTGGCTTAATGTCGTAGACAGACAGCTTAAGTTTAGTATGACGTGTGATATACTACTGCCGTGAGAACATTATGAAACCGGACCCTCGACCCCCGGTCCAGCCCCTAAACCCTACTTAAAATGACATTGTAGAACGGGGCACTCCCCCTTTTTTGGACAAAACTACAAGACCTGTTTAAAATTACATTATTGGGAAAAAAAACGCAATAGCATGTAGGGTATGCCCGTCATTTCATTATCCCGGTTGATGCAGAAATATTATGAGTGTTTCAAGATGTAGTATAATTGTGGTACTTGACAGTCGAGGCTATGTCTCGATTATCCAGTTTAGCGGTAAATTTTCAAATCTCGCGGGTGTTCTAATCCATATAAATCTCGCCATCCGTTGTTCTAGAGGGTTGATTATAGTCTTGTCATGTGCACAACAATCTAAATAGTGCGTGCGTGAAATAGCTTTATTTAACGTCCGCTTTCACCGAGGTGATATCGCATAATCATTTATATAACATTTGAAGCCAAACTTAAAGACATAGGCAGATTTAGCTCGCACATCTTTAAGGCACATTCGATCGATTTAGTTATTAACCTATATATACGCAGAAAAAAAATATTGATAGCTTGTCGATAACTGAATTATCAGATTACTGGCTGTTGGATCGGCGATCACCCTCAGAACATGTGGTCAAACTGACCAGCAGTAAATATCCATTGGCTGCTACTATCACTGATAGGGATGACATCGGGTGTGGCGGGGTGGCGGGAGTTCATTAGGTAGCAATGTTAAACTTTTGTCTACTGCAAATTAAATTCTGGAATAATTTTGTAAATTAAGGAAAAAATAAATGTGTTGGAAATATTTCTTTAGTGTAAATTAGTATCGAATTCCAACTGTCAAGGATCTCTCTCTCTGTCTCTGTCTCTCTATCTCTCTCAACACAATATATCACAATATGACGTGAACCAAGATTGTATATAACAACATCATATATATATTTTTATACCATTCGGTGGCACAAAGGCAATATCCTATAGAGTTGTTTATCTCGAATATTATTGATATAACCATAAATAAAAATATACTGTAGAAAACGAGTCACCGTGACAGTTAAAATAACAAGTACAGGAGGACCGTAACACACATAAACTAATACATAAGACAAATACACGGACAGAACACAATATATTGTATAAAACCATACACATCAACCTAAATAAAACTATATTGTATAAAGCCATCCACATCAAACTAAATAAAAATATATTGTATAAAACCATTCACATCAACATAAATAAAAATATATTGCATAAAACCATTCACATCAACATAAATACAAATATATTGCACACACCAGATACACAGTGACATTCACAATGATATTAAAGTGCCAACAATTAAATGAAATGCCAGGCTCAATATAAACATATTTTATGAGAACAAAATACGGTCTAGTGCCTCGTCGACATTCTATTTAGGCTATTGTGAGATTAATACGCGGTAGGTTTTTACTTTTGTGTTTCCGGTTGTATCACTTCAAATAGACGTTATAGAGTGTTATAATATAATATATTATACAAATCCATGTCAATATAACGTTATAGACAAACTGGTGTTAATATAACGTTATATAAATCAAAGTTAATATAACAATATAAACAAACTGGTGTTAATATAGCGTTATATAACTGGTTTTAATATAACGTTATATAAATCAAAGTAAATATAACGTTATATAATTCGATGTTCATAATAGACACATCGACGTTAAGTTAACGTTCTAGACAAATCGACATTAATACGATAATATAACGTTATATAATTCAAAGTTCATCTAGCATAATAGACAAATCGACGTTTTAAAATACGTTAATATAACGTTGTAGACAATTCAATGTTAATATAACGTTGGCAAACCCATGACACGCGTTCCCAAAGTGGCAGGCGAGATGAGTTTACATAGCATGCCATACTCTTGAGATTCTAGTAGTATGAACTCATTGAAATCGCAATTTAGCAATTCAGCTTGATTTTTTTGTGAAAATATTTTACACCGCGTTGATTAGTAATCGGACAATAGGTGAATGGACATGATCGCCACAATAGATTAGAACCGCAGCTAACTGCTGAAAATGAGATGCTCGGCGTCTGGAAAGACCTGCCTGAAATTTTCAACTCAAAGAAAAAAGTAGCCGTGGCGATTTTGCAGGGCCGTAACTAGCTCAGAGCAACAAGGGGTGCGGGAAGTGTTCTCAGGGGTGCTGTAATATTGACAGACAATGTATATCTATTTTTTTATGGGCCTGCGATTTTGTCGATGGGGTTGGCTTGTTAATAAAAGGCCTACTCCTAATTATAATAATAATAATAATAATAATAATAATGACTTTGTTTTGAGGGAACATATTTAGAACATGAGTTCTAATTTTCAACATGTCCCTCCTACTCTATAAATCTAGCAGCTACACAATATATGACAGTCACAATATTTACACATATTTACAAAGTGCTTAATATATATATATATATACCTATAAATAACAAAATGGCAAATAAACATACATTAAGAGGTCTACAGTAGTTAACGAGGGTTGAAAGATGTGACATGTTAAAACTCTTTTTTGAAAATAAAACATGAAGAGGCATGTTTCACAGTTTGAGGTATTGAATTCCAGAATAAAGAAGCGGCATATTGAAATATTCTTGTCATTGCCTTTTTCTTACTTTTTGGAATTGCTAATTTAAGTTGACTTTCTGATCTCAATGTCATCGTAGTTTAGGTCATTTAGAATTTGCACATAATATGCTATATAAATATGATGGTAATTTGTCTCTTCGAATTTTGAAATTGAACATTCCGTGGTTGTATTACATGCGATGTTAGATTGTAAGCCAATTTAGATATTCAAATAAAGGTGTAGAATGTGAATCAGGATCTTCACCCAAAATGCTCCTTGCTACACGCTTTTGAAGTCTATACAGGGCCTCTAGTTTGCTGTTTTTGGCATTACCCCTAACTGTGGAACAGTAATCAAAATATGGTAATATATAGCCGTTGAAAATTAAATACTATAGAAAATAAAGCTGTAAAAGATAGATTTTGGAGGATATGATTTTGGAAATTTTTTAATTTGGAGATTCCAATCTAAATTTTTGTCAACAATAAGTGCTAATAACACTGCTTCAGATGCATTTTCTAATGAATCTCTATTAATTATTAATGATAAGCTATTTGTGTTTGTTTGGTGTTTTGAAGGCTAACGTCTTCTTAGCATTCATTACCGATGAACTTTCTCGGCCATTACAAGGGTCGAGCCGGCGTCTTACCACTTAGACACCGCATGCACGTCCTCATTAGCAGAACAGTAGGACGTTAAACCCCACTTCATTTCATTTCAGTTATGGTCACCCATATTAACGTTTTAGGCATCATGATGTGATGTTATTGTAACCCATATTATATACTTTTTATGCATCATGACGTGACGTTATTATAATCCATATTAAAGTTATATGCATCATAACGTGACGTTATTATAACCCATATTATAAACGTTATATGCATCATGGCGTGATGTTATTATAACCCATATTAAAGTGACGTTATATGCATCATGACGTGACGTTATTATAATCCATATTAAAGTGACGTTATATGCATCATGACGTGACGTTATTATAATCCATATTAAAGTTATATGCATCATAACGTGACGTTATTATAACCCATATTGTAAACGTTATATGCATCATGACGTGATGTTATTATAACCCATATTATAAACGTCATATGCATCATGACGTGATGTTATTGTAACCCATATTAAAGTTATATGCATATACGTGATGTTATTGTAACGTTTTATGCATCATGATGTGACCTTATTGTAACCCATATTGACATTTTGCATTTCTAGAAATCAGTGGAAACCCATCGATTTTAAAACTCCATCATTGCAAAAAGTTACCTCTGGATCGACGCTAGAACCATATTCTGATCTATGATATATTTAAAGTATTGCAATGATTATTTTCAGAGAGCTCAATGGGGCCGTCAGATCGAGTTTATATTTACACTGATTGGTTATGCTGTAGGACTGGGTAATGTTTGGAGGTTTCCATACTTGTGCTTCAGAAATGGCGGAGGTATGTCTTCTTTACTTTCACTGGTAATCTGATACCACTGACTTATGAACCCGAACCTTTTAGTAATGACAATTTTTGTCATTAAATCATACATGTAAGCATTATTCTAAACTTATGTTCAGTATGTATAGAAAGTGGTTAGAAATTATACAGTTGTCATTAGCTGGTGTGTAATTGGCTGTAAAACGATGCCACTACTAGTGTAAAAGCGTGCCTAATTATAACACCCATCACTATTGAATACACAAACCTGGACACGGTTTCAACACCATATAATACTACTCGCAGTGTTTCGTTAGTTTAGCGGTTAGTCATAAAAATTGAACTCGAGAGATTTGACTGGACTTTGAAAATAGAAATACCAAGTCAAAACCCAAGTTTTCGGCCGGAGTATAGCAATGGCTTGAGAGTGATTTCTTGGGCCATTGCTTCAGGAATATGTTTTCACACCTTTGCCACCAAATTTTCTGTACCGACTACACCAACCGAACCATTGAAGACAGGCATACGTCGTGGAATGTGCTGTGCCCGGGCATGTGCTATGAGGGAGATTTTGCCAGGGCGTGTTCCATTAGTAAGTGCAGGCGGACCGCACTACACGCAAAACAAAAATCTACAAGATAAACCTGCGGACAAGACAGAAAATAGACATTGCCTAAAAGAAACACATATCAAATCAAGTGAATGGATCCCGGGGCCAACCGTAAGCGTCCACTGCGCTGTACAGTCCCGGGCCTGTTATGGTACAGGCTTGACTAAAAATGATTTACAAAAAAGACGTAACAGAAATAATGCGACCAATCCTGACAAAGGTCGTGAGATTTTCCCCTGCCGTGTGCTATGAGAGAGATATTGCCCGGGTGCGTGCTATGTGGGAGATTTTGTCCGGGCGCTTGCTATGTGGGAAATTTTGCACGGGCGTGTGCTATGGGGGGGGGGAGATTTTGCCCGGAGGTGATTCCACCTACTTTTCTTAGAATTCCTACTGTCAAGGCTTCTTTTACGTGAACGGTTTCCGTCCGATCCGAACGACTAGACGCTGTTCTTTTGACAAAGAGAAACCACGGTGAAATATCTCGAGAAACCGTCTCGGCCAGCATTGGGATCTAACCCAGAACTTCTCGTTAGTTAAACATACATTATGCAAGAGCTAAATCTGCCTATTGCAAGTCTCTCTTTAGGCCTGAAATGTTATATAAATTATTAATTAGACATTAATTAACTTATCCAGATCATAATCAACTCTTGATGTTAACGCTAGCCTGCGAAATTTACTGGATTAGAACCCGGTCTGCTGCTTCTGATTAAATCAAAAAATGGATAATCGAGACTATGTTTCTTATCCCACTGACTTTAGTTATGATGATCCAGACTGGGCCCAAAATTCAATAGCTAAATACTGGGTTCAGAGTGGATCAATTTGACTGAAATTTTTAGCAAATTCCCTTTACATTATGTATTTTTTAACTATTATAGTGTGAACTACCAGCTCTTTATCTAATCTCCCATAATCTATCTTTAAGCAAGCAGCTCATTACTCACTGAGACACCGTGATCATATATTGGAGGGCGACTGGGTTATGCGTCGATGTTGGAGTTGCGTCGATGTTGTAGTTGAGATTGACTCTAAGTGACACTACAGGACCACCCTGTCAAGATATGATAACCTAAACAGTCGAAGTAGTTCATCATGCGTATGCTGTTGCCGGTTGGTGTAGAAACGTAAGGGGTAATCCCTATTTCATTTCATTCCCTGAGGGTGGGGGGGTCCTAATGGTTAGTGCGTGCGCGTTGTATCATAAGGTCTGTCATTGAGTCAACTGACGTTGTTTCGATTCCCCGGTTGTAAGTGACAAGGAGTAGGGTCTCCCATCCAACCTCTTGGGTTTACTCCGGGTCCTCCGGTTTCCTTCCGCTGCTAAAGACCCCCACGCCCAAGCCAATTATTGAAATAAAGTTAGTCCCGAAATGACCTAGTTTGTGTCAGAATATCCAGATGAACTCTCCAGGCCAACGCAGCGATCGAACACGGATCATCCAGGTTCGCGAGCCAAGGTCTCACTCACTTAACCTATGTCCGATGCAGAAGAGTAAGAAATTGAACCCTATTTCATTTCATTTCATAATAGATTGAACAGAGCAGTTCAAATTTCAATTCAGCAACTCTGTCACGCCATTCATTGATGCGCTGTTTTATAAACGAGCTTAAATATGTCGTGTATTTGTTTAATGATCGAGATGTGTAGTACCGAGGCCTACCAGTGATACACACTGTTTGCTTAGCAATAAAGAGGGCGATAACCGTGTGGATGCCATTGATAAAGGACCACAGTGGCTCCCTAAATAAACACTTGTGTTGAGGTTTATTTCTGGTCAGATGTTATCTCCTATACCAAATAAAGAGACAATCTTATTAAAATACAGCTCTATAATTCGTTTCGTTTTCTTTTTTACTTTCGGTGGCCTCTACTAAGATCGGACCAGTTGCAGTGGGAGGGCGCGTCAGAGGTTTTACGAGCGGCGTTTGAAGATATGACGTCAGACATTTGATTAACCAATCCGCGTTGATGTTTCTAGCGGGTTACCCACAGTTCCTTGCAACTCACGCCAAACACTCAACGTAACAGACCGTTTCATTGGCTAATCCCTCACATCATCCAGAACGCGGGTTATATAACAACGCTTCCAGATCCTAGTGTAGTAAAGACAAGTAAAACGAAATTTTGAACTATATAAAAACCAAACGAGATAGGATCCGTGTTTTAATCAGATTAAATAAAGGGACAGTTAGCTAGGCTTTTCCAAGTTTAGATATTTCTTCAGAATAGTGATATCCCTGTCAAAAAGAAAATAGTTTGAGTATGTTCGAAAAGGAAAATATACTATTATCTTAAACCTGTTCATGCCTACATATTGACTGATATTGTACATACGACAGTGTATGCCTACATATTGACGGGTATTGTACATGCGACAGTGTATGCCTACATATTGACGAATAGTAGGCGGAAACGCCTTTATCAAAGCAAAATTTAACCTATAACACGCTGCATAGCGTATGGCGTATGTCTGTCGTCATTATCCCGGTTGGTGTAGGAAAGTAGGGCGTTAAACTTCACCTCATTTTATTACAGACAGACCCTTTAACAACAGTGGTTTATATATAGAACGATTTAGTGGCGTTATCGTCGATCTACTTCTAGTACATAAAATCATATTATAGTTTATAAAACGCGAAAAAGCCCGTAGTTCACATCTATCTAAATCAGGAGATGTTCACTCGGCACAAACTAGGTCATTTCGAGACTAACATATAGGAGGAAACCGGAAGACCCGCAGAAAACTCACGAGGTCGGACAGGCGGACCTACTCCTTTTCACGTACAAGCGGGGTTAGAGAGCCGAAAAGAGCAAGGACCCGACCTCTGGAACAATGACGCGACCCTTTGAACAAGGCTCAGACCACTGGGACAAGAAATAGACAACTGGAACAATTAGGACGCGGCCTCTGGAACGAGACCGCGACCGCTTGAACAAGGCTCGGATCGCTTGATCAATGACCATACATCCTGAATAAGGCCCGGGGAATCAGACCACTGATAAGCAGGCTACAGGTGAAAAAGGGGGGAAGTTTGTTTGGGCGATTGATTTACCTCAAACGCGTTAGATCACAAGGTCCGTCATTGAGTCAAGTAGCGTGGTTTCGATTACCGGCTTGTACGTGACAAGGAGTAGGGTCACCTGTCCAACCTCGTGCATTGTCTCCGGGTCAAGCGAATTATTGAAATACAAATGAACCATATGTTAGTTCCGAAATGACCTAGTTTGTGTCGAGTGGGTGATAAACCCCATTTTTAGTTTTAAGGTCTAGATTTGGTCAAAAGTATGCATTAGGCTTATTTGCATGACTTACTAATACTCCGTTGCTAGTGGTGGAAACCGTGTCTTTTGTATGACGGGCAGACGGTTGTAAACGACGGACGCCGGGTCTTTTGAATAAGATAATTCCACGGAAGGTGTAATTCCTATCACTTCTTTGGAACTGTCCGTTGAAAAATCAAATTGTACAATAACTGACAACGGTAAAAAAAAACACACAAAAAAACATACATGTATATCTTACAATCCTGCTGAGATGATTTGCACTCAATCAAAATGAGATTAACACTCAAAGGAACTTGACAAGTGCACACATCCTGGCCGAGGCACTCGCTTGAGCAAAGCAATAGTCATATTTATAGCTAACAGTATATCAATGTTAAGTGTTGTCAAATCGTTCTTGTAAAATGACACCCGGATATATATGTCTGTTATACATAATACATATTATATTACATGTATGATAAATCTTAACAAACTATAAAAACAAGAGTTTCAATATATCTTATTCAAAATAGTGTCAGATATTTTAATCAGAACGTTTCATTTGAACGCCCCTATGATTCATTTGAACGCCCCTATGTTTTATTTGAATGCTTTTGTGTTTCATTTGAACGTTCCTATGTTTTATTTGAATGTTTCTGTGTTTCATTTGAACGCTCTTATGTTTCATTTGAACGCTCTTATGTTTCATTTGAACGTTCCTATCTTTTAATTGAATGTTCTTATGTTTCATTTGAACGTTCCTATATTTTCTTCGAATGTTTCTGTGTTTCATTTGAACGTTCTTATGTTTCATTTGAACGTTCCTATGTTTTATTCGATTGTTTCTTTGTTTCATTTGAACGTTGATATTTTTCATTTGAATGTTTTATTTGAACGTTCTCGTGTTTCATTAGGACGTTGGGATGTTTTATTTAAAAATTCATATTTTTCCAAGTATCATTTGAACGTTGCACATGTTTCATTTAAAAATTCATATTCATGGTTTGTTTAAATGGTCATATTTCTTGTTATTTTGAACCCGTATACGAATTTTAATATTATATGCGTTTTGTAAATGTTCAACGAATTAATTTTCTCTTTTTTCGTTTTAGGGGCCTTCCTGATACCCTATGTCATATGTTTGGTATTTTTGGGTATTCCCATATTTGGTCTGGAGATAGCATTCGGACAATTCGGCGGAAAAGGGCCGATTTCAATTTGGAAAAATGCAAATCCTATTTTTAAGGGTAAGGATCTATCGTGTGTTTTTTCTTAATTTCAGATTTATTTTATTAAAGAAACTCAGTGGGGTAGGCCGGAGGGCCTGGCAAAGAACAATGTATAGTCGTTGAGATGGGACGAAACCCCGATCTCCCGTGTACATATTGGAGTGCATGTAAAAGATCCCTTGCCAGTTGAAATCGAACACCTGTCCTCAGGTTTAGTGAAACCCCGATCTCCCGTGTACACATTGGAGAGCACGTAAAAGAACTCTTGCTAGTTGAAATCGAACACCTGTCCTCAGGTTTAGTGAGCCAACGTCTTTTCTCACTGAGCCACCGCGGACGGCTACGGATAATTCCCAACTTTAAATAATGTTAATAAAACTAAAAGCCTATGAGTAGCTGTCCCAGATGTCTCTTATGAACCGACTAGTTTCGTTCAGTTCGAACTCATCAGGCTTAAATGAGATTGCTCGTTCGTCGTTCCTGGGGTTTTACGTTAACTTCCACCCAGGGTGATATCGAAGACACGTGTTTCCTAAGAAAACTGCCAGTGGAAGCTACAAAGTAGACTGGATCTAGCTTATTTGGATAAGACACAATGTCTTTGCAGGGAAGCGCCCAAGGTGTATTGCATTCAAAGGAGAGGCCTCGGGTGAAAGAAAAGAAAGAATGGCGTGCGTGCTCAGTCTGGCCCGCTTTGTCATCTTAGATGCGAGATTGTGAGGCCGTTCCCTTTGTATAGTCGTCGTGGACCGGAGCGCAAAGTAGGACTCGGGTGGACCGGCGCATTGCTGTTTCAGCGAAGCATTGCTTCTGTTATTGGTGAAAAAAGAGATGGCTAATCTTTAATTAAAGATATATTATGTAAGATTTAGATAAAGAGCTAGCCATTCTTGCTATAATAGTTCGAAAATAAATAATGTAAAATGAATAGTTTCAAAATTTCATTCAAATTACTCTATTGCGAGCGAAGATATTTGAAAGTTTGGCAAGACGTGTGCAATAATTTCAACCACCGTACTGGTTGTTCGAAGCTAAGTCTCGCTCCTCCATTTTTAGCTTAAATCAAAATATGTCTGAACTGTTCTAATCTATTTAATATCGGAGAAATCCGATGCCATCGAGAGTTGATTATGGCCTGGATAAGTTAATTAATGTCTAATTAATAATTTAGAAAACATTTCAGGCCTAAAGAAAGACTTGCAACAGGCAGATTTAGCTCTTGCATAATGCATGTTTAAATGATGTTGTTTTTGTTATTACAGGAATTGGTATGGGAGGTATTCTTATATCGGCAATCATATCTATTTATTACGATATTATCATCGCCTGGGCCTTATATTATTTATTCGCCTCCATGACGGATAAACTACCCTGGGAAGACTGTACTGACTGCGCATGTCAACTATATGATTCGCAAGCCAACGTCACCAATTATTTGAACAGTAACGTCACCAATTATTTGAACAGTACAGAATTGAATTGCAGTAAGTGTTAAGACTTCTATAAAATCACAAATTATAGCATAGTTTTTTGGTAGTATTGGGTCTTTATTTTGCATCAATGTATTGGTCTTTGGTAGTATTGGGTCAATCATGTAAAACAACATTTATGGGATAACAATTACCTATGGTTTATTCCACATCAATGGGGTTTAACGTCCACTCTACAAAACTAGGTTTTATTTCAATAATTCGCTAGAGTTAGAATGTATGTAGCAGCGGGACATCGAAACCACGCCACTTGACTCAAACCATTCCGCCACCCAACCCCACTATTTGCCGGTTAAAAGGTCTATATTTCAGTGATGATATGTTAGACGAATTTTGAATACGTCCGATCTAACGTCTGTAGTCAAATCACGACAAATTCAAAAATCGCTTGTTTTCTCCATCGGGGATCAACATCCGCTTTCATTTAGGGTGATATCGCAGACAAAGGGATCTCTAAAATGTGTCCGCCTTTTAAAGCGATACCCGTGTTGTGTGAACGACGACGACGACTACTACTAGTCGGGGATCAACATCCGCTTTCATTTAGGGTGATATCGCAGACAAAGGGATCTCTAAAGTTTGTCCGCCTTTTAAAGCGATACCCGTGTTGTGTGAAAAAAGGGCGATTAAATAATTAGCGATAGTAGCATTTACAGGATCTCACTATTGACGATTATAGCATTAAATAAGTGGCGATTACAGCATTATTTAAAGAATCTCTCCTTACATAATTGGCGATAGCATTATTTAAAGGAACTTACAACTGGCGATTAAAGACTTTAACAGGATCTAACTTAATGTTTGCAAAATATATGTAATATGAAGACACCTTCATTTATTTCCTTTCAGCGTTATTTACAGGACAACCTCGATCTGCCAGTGAAATATACTACAGGTAAATCATCATCATCATCATCATCATCATTATCATCATCATCCACGAGGTGATTCCTCCAAAAAGCTTGTACTTAAAAGTTTCCAAGTTCTGAGATTAGCTTCCATTTCCCGGTGATGTTCTGACCTCCCTTGAGACGTCATTTACTGCTGATGTTCTTACCTTCCTTATGGCCACAGATCACTAAAAATTTCCCCATTGACTTTTAATTCTCGTATCTTAGACCGGCTCTAACTTTTCCCCAAATTTTCGTTGGGTAGAACGCTTTCTGCCATAGATGGAGCAACATGTGGCAAACTCTTGCCCAAAAGCATGAATGAGGTTCACCATGAAAAACTTGAGATACCCAAACTGGAAGTAGAGATAAGTAAACATGCCATTTTCGGCCCTGCATTTCAAACCAACCAACCTCTCAACTCTTGTATCCTTCCACCTTAAAATCATGAATATTCACCAAAACCTGGCAGAAAATGTATTTTCAAACCCTTTTCTTCGATTCTACACCAAAAATTCAACAAAAATCGCCATGCAAAAGGGAAAGGGAGAGAAAGACTAAAAAGAACTTTCGCCCTACATTCTGGGTGACGGCGTAGAAATATTTGGTGATCTGTGTCCTTATGACATCCTTTCCTGAAATCTCCCAAACAGAGTTGTCTTCCCTTGTAGTTCACACTAACCTCTGCTAACGGCTCATTTGATTACGCCACCAAGATTGTTGTTGATGATAGACAATAATCAACAATACGATAAATAACAAATAACTGATAATACATTTATTACCATTACTATATTAAAATAGAAAAGTATAATTTCTCTTTACAGCATGGAGCCTGAAATTGTTTACGTTCATTCGCCGCCTTTATAATAACAACATATCCATAACGCCAGCCATTTGCAAGCTGAAATTACAGAAACAAGAGCGGTTGATTGACTTTATGGAAAGAGAGTCCTTGTTTGTCCGCCAGAACGTAAACATCCGCATGCTAGTGAAAAAGTCGCTCATGGAGTGAAAACGATTATATTTACATTAGACCCAGTTTTTCACCGTCAGAAACACGTACAAGGAAAGCGGACCTAACACTAGATAATATTTAGTGGGATGAAGAATTTGATTTCATGTTGTAGGGATTTTATGTTGCAGGGATGTTGTTTTATCAGAATCAGAGAAGTTAGGAGACTGGGGAATTTTGAAATGGGACCTGAGTTTATGTAACCTGCTGAGCTGGACAATCGTGTTTATAGTCTTGAGTAAGGGTATCCAGTCTCTCGGAAAGGTAACGCTGGTTATTTTTCCCCGTGTGTGTAGCCTATGTGTGAGACAAAGTCGGTAATACTTATGAAATATCGATAAACGAAACTAGGCTGCAGTTGAATAGTATTCGATATTTTTTTTTAAAAAATGGCCTACATGACGCTGCGTTGATTAGTGATGGGCATTGTTTTAGTGGCGACAGTCATCGCGGATTTGTTTTCCTTCTATTTTAACTTGTTTTTATAACGACGAAGAGAAAAGATGACACGCTCTTTCTCCTCACGACAGCGAATGTTGGCACCGTATTTTTAAATGACACTGTGATATACATTTTTTTTAATGTTTTTACCAATGTTTATTTATTACTCCTTGACTTAAAGATACATTATGTAAGGTTTAGATAAAGAGCTAGCCATTCTTGCTATAATAGTTCACAAATAGATAATGTAAAATGAATAATTTGAATATTTCATTCAAATTACTCTATTGCGAGCGAAGATATTAGCCTTTGAAGGTTTGACAAGACGTGTGCTATAATTTCAACCACCGTTCTGGTTGTTCGTAGCTCCTCCATTTTTAGCTTAAGCCAGCGTCTTACCCTATGACCCACCTTGGCTCCCGTCAACTTGGTAACACAAACCCCAGTTTTTTAAAACATCTTTATTTCAGGTAGTATACGTCACGGCCATATTTCCCTATGTTTTATTAACCATTTTGTTGATTCGAGGGGCCATGTTGGAGGGTGCTTTAGAAGGAATTAAATATTACATAACGCCTGATCTGTCAAGACTAACTGATGCCACGGTAAGTGTTAAGAGAGAGAGAGAGAGAGAGAGAGAGAGAGATGTACCCATTTACACTAATTTACACTAAAGATAAATCAAAACCGGGGAATAAAAACCACGCCAGTTGACTCAATGACAGACCTTATGACCACGCCCACCCCAGCTTGTAACCGACTCTGTATATACAACTTTTAACATGCCCGTAATTTTGATTATTTTTTTTATGATTATATTGTATCTTTGTAAACTGTCCCTGAACACGTGATGTGAAAGAGTGCACAATAAATATGCTGTAATGATAATAATATCGATGTCTATACAACAAAATAATGTCAGAGGGGACAGGGAAATTAATTCAGATATTTAAGGTCACATATTCTGGACCAACCTGTCTAATCGAGATGGCGTGCTTGGGTGATTGAGTGGTTTAAGTCGTGTGCGTGAAATCATAAGTTTTGTCATTGAGTCAAGTGTTGTCGTTTAAATTGCCCGCTTGTGCGTGACAAGGAGTATGGTCGCCTGTCCAAACCCGTGGGTTTTCTCTATGTCCTCCGGTTCCGGTTTCCTCCCACAGCTGAAGACCCCTACGCTCAAGTGAATTCTTGAAATAAAATTAAACCATACGTTAGTCCTGAAATGACCTAGTCTGTGTCGAGTGGACGTTAAACCTCATTTCTAACTCTCTATGACAGTGATTCTCAGCCAGTGTGTCGCGCTAAGTGTGCCGCGAAATTTTGAGTATTCACTGGTGTCTACTGATAATTTCATAGTTGTGTTTTTCTTTTATTAGTTTGAGTCATTCTATGTTTCTATGACTACTCTCTATCTACGGTTGTATTTTGTTTGACTTGCCATGTTTTTATTTCGAATATTTTTCATATATATATTTAGCCAGGTGTGCCGCTATTTTTTTATGTTGGCTCTAGGGAACCACTGCTCTAGGGAACTAAAACTTGGATTTATATGATTTTCTATGTTTTTGTATTTTTATAGGTCTGGAGTGATGCCGCTGTACAAATATTTTTTTCGTTAAGTTCTTGTCAGGGTGGTCTCATGGCCATGGCTAGTTATAATAAATTTACCAATAATATCCTTAGGTAAGATTCATAATATTATCTATTATTATCTATCTATCTATCTATATATATTTTTGTGACTGTCGTTTGTCTGTCTGTCTGTTCGGGGTTGGCGGCTACATTAGGTCTGCCCCGAGTCTGAAATTTGGGGTTTAGGGGTAGATCGGACCGGGGAGTAACATAGGCCAGGTGGCGTTAGTCTACCACTTCCGGTTTCGGAGTAATGACCCCCGAGCGAAGCCGGTCTGTTCGGGGTTGGCGGCTACACTAGGTCTGCCCCGAGTCTGAAATTTGGGGTATAGGGGTAGCTCGGACCGGGGAGTAACATAGGCCAGGTGGCGTTAGTCTACCACTTCCGGTTTCGGAGTTATGACCCCCGAGCGAAGCCGGGTATCCTGCTAGTATATATATATTTGTGACTGTCGTTTGACTGTCTGTTCGGGGTTGGCGGCTGCACTAGGTCTGCCCCGAGTCTGAAATTTGGGGTATAGGGGTAGCTCGGACCGGGGAGTAACATAGGCCAGGTGGCGTTAGTCTACCACTTCCGGTTTCGGGGTTATGACCCCCGAGTGAAGCCGGGTATCCTGCTAGTAATTTTATAAAGACAGACACATAAATTGAAATGAAATGGTCTTTACTATCTTACTATTCTGCTTCGACTGGGCTAATGAAGACGGACATGCACCATGCAGTGTGCTATTCGGGAAATTTTGCCCTGACAGCCGCACTGCCGCCTACTCTTAATTTCAACAGTCATGGCATCTTTTGCGTTCACACCTGGTTTTCGTCCCATCCGAACGGCTAGACGTTGTCACTTTCCAGGCCTTTTGTCAATGCCGGAAAATCACCTGGACTAATAAACTTTCTCGGCCAACGCATCTCTGAGCATCAGAGGTTCACACCGACATATTTAAAATGGATAGAGCTGAATAATATTTGGACTATTGTGTAATTTAAATTTAAAAAAAAATATAACAAGTTTATTTACATGGTCAAAATAGTGACAAAACAAAAATTTACATTTCATTCCGAACTTTCGTTTTCCGGAATATTATAGTGTTTTTTTTTATTTGATTTATTTTTCTACAGGGATGCCATAATGATTCCTGTCATAAATTGTTTAACAAGTTTCTATGCTGGATTTGTCGTCTTCTCTGTGTTGGGCTACATGGCCCACGAACGACAGTTACCCGTTGCTAACGTCACACAAGGAGGTAATGGAGGCAGACCACCATTAATTTCCCCATTGACTTCAATGTTAATACTGGCCTCTTTGCCCACCTCCAACTTTTCTTCAAATTTTCGTTGGGCTGAATGCTTTTCACTACAGACAGAGGAACAAATGGTCATGTCTTTCCACTAAATTTTGTATGGGGTTGACCACCAAATTTTTGAGATACACAAACTTGAAGAAGCATACTAAAAACATGTAACTAGTTGCCGTACACATCACCGTAGCCAACCTGATAACCCCGTTATCCTTTCGCCTCAAAATCATGAATATTTACCAAAACCTGGCAGAAAATGTTAATTCAAACGGTCTTCGTCCATTCTAGACCGACAAATCAACAAAAATGGGCATGCAAAAGGGGAGATAAGAGACAGACAGAGGATTGTTATAAATAGACGAACTACAATTTGTACCGAGATGGTGAAATATAATGGTGGTCTGCATCCTGTAATACGGGTTGTCCCTCTTTAAATACAAAAACCGCGAATCGATTTTGTTCCCCAACATCGTGCAATAATATTTGGTGCGTGTATAATAAATATATTTAGTTTTTGCGATGTGAAATGAAATGGGGTTTAACGTCCTACTTTTCGGCCTCTGCACCAATCGAGATAATACGCCATACAGTGTGCACGAACAGCGTATTTCCGCTTCGTACATTGGACCCCAGTTTTTCGTCCCATCCCAACGACTAAAAGCTGTTATATTCGGTATACAATATATAAATCAAATGTTATCACCCCGACGCCCCGCCCGTTCCGCCCAGCCCCCAAATCTATCTCAAACACGCCCTTAAAACTATATGCTGACCTATATGATAGCTACAATTTCACTTGTATTCGTTTTACGCTCTGTTCGATTAATGTTAAAATACAATTTGCCCGAAGTTACGTCCCTTTCATTTTTTATTTATTTATCCATTCAGGTGCTGGTCTGGCTTTTATCGTGTATCCTGAAGCTTTGAGTAAAATGCCGATATCACCATTATGGGCGATTCTCTTTTTTCTTATGTTGTGTATGTTGGGATTCAGTAGTCAGGTAACGTTGGCAACTACTAAACAACGACAAGAACAATTTATTTATTTATGAATAGCCCACAAATTATTTCAAACTGTGACAGAAATGAAATGAAATGATATGAGGTTTAAAGTCCTACTATTCTGTGTCGATTGGTCTAATAAAGACATGCATATTCCATGCAGGGTGATATGATGGGCATTTTGCCGGGACAGCGGCGCTCTGGCCTACTCTTATTTCGAATTCTAACTGTCAAGGATTATTTTACGTCCACGCCAATATGTACACGGAACACGGGTTTCCGTCCCATCCGTACAACTATACGATGTCCCTTTCCAGACCCTCTTTCCTACACCACTGAAAAGGGGAATCCCACCGGAAATTCTCAATGAACGTTGGAATACAATTCCAGCTTAGCGAGCCAATGTGCTGATTGGCTGTTGGTCTTAGTGTGCCATCTAGTGAGAGATAACGATAGAGATAACCAAGGTAGATATTGCCCGTTAAAAACATGTTTCTTTTATATTTAAATGTGCTAAACTAGGCCTAACAAAATTCAACTGCTCGATAAAACGTTAAAGTTGTCATAGTAACTGTGATAAACTTACTTTCTAACCGTTTTATTCCAGTTTTCTACAGCAGAGACGGCTATGACCGGGATTATTGATGAATTTCCCAGATTCTTACACAGCGGAAAACGCCGAATTCTGTTTAGAGTTGGTGTTTGTATTTCCGGCTGTTTATTAGGTTTACCCATGCTGACACAGGTAAGATGTCACTGTTTATTAGGTTTACCCATGCTGACACAGGTAAGAAGTCACTGTTTATTAGGTTTACCCATGCTGACACAGGTAAAAAGTCACTGTTTATTAGGTTTCATGATTCCAAACCTTTTGTATGGGTTTAATCTGTTTGTATTTTAGGGTTCCAAACCTTATTTATAGGTTTAATCTGTTTGTATTTGAGGATTCCCAACTTTATTCATGGGTTTAATCTGTTTGTATTTTAAGATTCCCAACCTTATTTATAGGTTTAATCTGTTTGTATTTTAGGGTGGTAGTTATTTGCTAGATCTGATAGACTCCTATATTCTAGGATTCCCAACGTTATTTATGGGTTTGATTGAAACAGTAGCAATTATATGGGTTTACGGTGAGTTTAATTATTCATTACATGTAAATTTGTATATATTATTGTCCCAGCGTGACTATTTTTATATGAATTATGTCCTCACTGTAAATTATAATGATTATTCTTTTTGTGTTGTTAAAATATTAATTGAAAATTGAAGTTGTAAATATATTTCTTTAGCACAATGCACAATGGTCTGGAGACCTTAAAAACTGAATAAAATATTATTATTATTATTATTATTTTTGCGTACACCTCACATCTCTCACTTAACCACGTGAATGCCCCTGTTCGTCATGCCCCTGTTCGTCATTTGAAAAGAATAAATCCCTTATAATCTGCAAAATTGTGATAGTTGAATCTCTAAAAGGAACAAGCCAACAGTGAGGCTGATGCCCCCGCCTCAATGACACATTTATTAATAACTGCACATTTATATTTTTGAAAAGTATCAACCTGATTATTTATTGAAGTACCCGACAGTGAAACTCTACACTAAGTTTCATCACCCTCCATAAGTTAGAATCAAAGATGTCTTGTCCCAAAGCATTGACCAATGAAATGGTTTAGCTCAGCTTAACTTTAGCGGAAAATGTCAATCATCAAACTCCGTCAAGACATTCATCTAATGAACATCTACCTTAATTAAAAGCAGTCTTGATCAATCAAATTGCTTATCGTTAAGTCTGTCATTAAGCCAAGTGGCGTGGTTTCGATTCTCCGCATGTACAGAACAAGGGGTATGCTAAAAAACCGTATTCGCATGCGAATTATTGAAATCACATTGAACCATGTGTCAGTCCCGAAATAACCTAGTTTAAGTTGAGTGGACGATAAACCCCATTTCCCCTCCCCTTCTCTGCAGACGATATATACGGTACATGTATAGTCAAAAGACACCGTAGTGTCTCTGTCCGGGAAAAAATTTCCCTCATAGCACATTCGATAACTATGCCTGTCCTCATTAGCCCAGTCGGAGCAGAACAGTAGGACGTTCAACCTCATTTGATTTTCAATAACAGCCAGATACGTTTTTAGAATACATGATACCACTTCCCGTAGATAACCAATTTCTATACTCATGTTTGGCACCGTATAGCCCGGTTGGATCTGACATGCCATAAAATTCCATTTCATTTAATTTTATTTGTTGACTGATTGGTCTATCATTTTCAGGTTACAAGAATTTCTCTGAGGATATAAGAGCCATGGTTGGACGGAAGCCTTATTTATATTTCATCGTAACATGGGTTGGAATTACGCCCCTTTTACTTGTGGTAAACTATTTTACATCATTGTTTGATCAGATCTTGGGGGGGGGGGGGGGGGTGGCTGAATGGTTGGGACTTGCGCGCTGTATAATAAGGTCTATCATCGAGTCAACTAGTGTGGTTTCCATTGTCCGGTCGACGTGACAAGGAGTAGGATCGCCTGTCTAACCTCGTTGGTTTTCTCCGGATCCTCCGGTTTCCTCCCATTGCTAAAGACCCTTACGCGCAAGCGAATTATTGAATTAAAAATGAACCACGTGTTTGTCCCGAGTGGACGTTAAAACCCATTTCTCGTTTTTACCATTTTGACGATGACAATTTTGCAATTTGAACCATAATATTTTCTCTTAATATGACAACGATTCGACTCCATAATGATGTAGGTTAACTGTTTCATAGTTTTATGAGATGTTGTCTAATAACGTAATATTTTTTAAGGGTGGATCAGATCTGGTCCAATGATGTACTAATTTCATGGGAAAGTTTTATCCTGTGTTTTTTTTGTACGTCTTTTAGCGTGATCGTGGATTAGGAAATATAACCCGGAAGTTAGACAGGGTGAGGCTTCATTGATGAAGGAGATACTCCATTGGACGAGTGAAATTTAGGAAGTAGGGCTACAACGCATGCGCAAATAATTAACCAACCATGACAGCTGAAACACCGTTAGTTGTGTTACGTGTCGGTTCGGTTCACACAGATTGCAATACTATCAATTCGGGACGTTCCAGATTGGCAATCGAGCATCACCCAGTCGTTAAGGCAGACAATATAATATCCTTCTCCCAGACGTATTCAACCATGCGGGGAATGTTGGGTTTGTTTTTGCCACATAACGCACGCGCATAGCTGACACTATTTGCTATATATATATTTATTTCATACTGAACAATTTTTTCAAATTCATAATTCGATGTTGAACCCTGTTTGAAACAGATCTAGACCTACTAACATATTCACTCATTGAAATTTTAATTTTTACTAGCAGATATGGTCGACCTGCCAGTCTAAGATTTCATCGGCATCACGCGATACGGTCGTAGATCAAAGGTCGGTTTCTTAGTGTATGTGGCGGAAATAGAGTTGCACGAAATGAAGTTAAAAATCTATTTGAGCGAAGTGGGTTCAGTTACGTAGTTATGTAACAGTTATTCCATCCACTTGAATTAAAATTGTCACCCTTTAATTAAGAGTTGTTTCCCTTTTCATAAATACAGGCTGTGATAGGATTTAAAGCCTATCAGTACGAACCGTTGACCCAGCAGGGTAAACCTCAATGGGCAGAATCTCTCGGCTGGTTTATTGCTCTGGGACCGATTGTGTGTATTCCATTATGGTTTGTTTATTATTCCTGGAGGAAGGGTATGTTAAAGGTGAGTTGTGCCTCGTTTTGATCTAATATGGCGGTATAAATCTACTCGAGGATTCCCAGTCCCCGTAAATGTTTTGCACCTTCTCTCAAAAGTACAAATTCGCGTGGTTTCAAATCAGTTTTCCACGCTATTAGCAGATTGCAATATCCATTACTTCATAGTCACCAGGGCAGAGGTCCAAGGTCCGTGGGGCCCGGCCCTCTCCCCGCCCCCCTCACCGGACAGGCATATTTTTTCACTCCTACATTCATGGAAATAGCTTTGAAAAATAAACCAAAACAAAACGCACGGAGTATGCAGTCGGTTTGCGGTTTGACTCACTCCAATGTAATCCTATACATGTATGCACCTAATCGAGCAGAAATATTGTCTCAAAGTTTCTGATTTGATCAAATTCGCGGGATAATTTCCCCGACCTTCTCCCCGACCTAATTTCCAGCTAATCAAATTCCGGGATACGCCCCTGGTCATATTGGTCAACCAGTGTCAAACATAATGTGGCTCCGATACGCTACGTATAGATTATATATGCAAATAATAGTCTGGGTAACAGAAACCATATAAATATTGGGTTGTGGTGCCCGCCCACGGGATCCTGTTTCTCATACACAAAACAATCAACACTCACAAAAAATCAATATTCATTGTTAATTTTCATTGAATGTTTCAGGCGACACCAGAATGGTTTGCCAGAAGGCGTCTTGGTGATCCGAACTATCAACAGGAAGAACTGGACGATGTTGACAAAATTCAGATCAAAAATGGAGACTACACACAAGAACACTACACGTCACAAACAAACTTTGCCTTTAAATCAGATAATGACGAACTGACAAAATTTTAGCGCCAGCTCAGTTGATAACTATGGAATGTCTTTTAAAGATGCATTATGTAATTTTTAGATACAGACCTGGCCGTTCTTGTTATAATTGTTCCACAAAGTTTTAGCACCAGCCCTGTTGATAAATATGGAATGTCCTTTCAAGATGCATTATGTAATTTTCAGATACAGAGCTGGTCGTTCTTGTTATAATTGTTCCAAAAAAGATAATGCAAAATGAATATACTGAAAATAGCATTTAAATTACTTTATTCTGAACGATGTTATCACTAATAAACACAAACAATTAATATGGAACAAAAAGACTATCTTAAATAAAGCGACATTTCGCTGAGGTTTTTTTTTATATAAACCTTCTAACTGTATATTATTTTCAGCACCATTTGTTTGATAACGTTTAGAGAACTCCCAACGAAACGTCGCTTTAATTAAAATTATAATTGTGTTCCAGGTTATGTTTTTGTGTTTATTACGTGTGTCAATTTACTAAAAAAAAGATGTTATCACTGTTTTGACAAGATGTGGCATAGATTGTTTGTTATCGTAACAACAATACATATTATTCGAGACTAAACCTCAATTCATCATTTTTTGAATTAAATTATTAATTGGAAACCGTGTTTCAATCCGTTTAAATCTCCTCCATCCGATGATCTAGAGAGTTGATTATAGGCTTATCATGTGACTAAATATCAATATGACAATTTATATAACATTTAAATCCGACATAAAAACCTGCAATAAGCGGATTTAGCTCTTACATAATGCATTTTTACGTATCGTGTGTGGTTATTTAAAATAACTAGACCTCCTTGATTTGGGTTCAAAATATAAAGTCTCCATTCTCTCTTCCCCCCCCCCCCCCCGTAAGCTGTATATATATTTGAACTTTTGAGTTTTTTGTGTTGTTTATATAACTACCAACAAAAGCATGTGAATTTGGTCGGATTAAGGAGTCACTCCCCATCGACAAATAATTTACGTTCCCCTTTCTCGTTCCCTTGTGTTATAATTTAAACGGGTTGTTGTATGGCCTAATGGTTAACACTTGTATCATAAGGTCTGTCACTAAGTCAACTGGCGTGGTTTCGATTCTCCGGTTGTACGTGACAAGGTGTAGCATCGCAGGTCCAACCTCGAATTTTTGAAATAAAACTGTACCATATGTTAGTCCCAAAATGATCTAGTTTGTGTCGAGTGGCCGTTAAACACCCCGCGCCCATCTCTGTCACTCTCTTATACTTAAACAAGCAAAAACAAATCTGTCAAAATGAAGGGTAAATAGTCCTTTTTTGAAGAGGAAAATCCCGCAGTCCCCGGAAACGGTTATGAATCTCTTCCGCCAAAAAGTAGGACCTTTTAACCGCTATTGAAACTTTGAGAATTTGAGAGAGAGAGAGAGAGTGAAATGGGGTTTAACGTCCACTCGACACAAACTAGGTCATTTCGGGACTAACGTATGGTTCAATTTTATTTCAATAATTCGCTTGCGCGTAGGGGTCTTTAGCAGTGGGAGGAAACCGGAGGACCCGGAGAAAACCCACGAGGTTGGACAGGCGACCCTACTTCTTGTCACGTACAACCGGGGATTCGAAACCACGCCAGTCGACTCAATGACAGACTTTATGATACAGCGCGCGCGCGCACGCTAACCATTCAGCCATCCACCCCCCCCCCCCTTGAGAATTTGATGTAGCATACATGTAATAGTAAATATGTAATCATCCGCTGTACATACCTCCGTTATCGACCACTTAGCTTCATTTTCCCTCCGCCTCTAATTTAGATAAAGCGTTCCTACGTATCTGGTCGTTCGTTCATTTGAAAACATAGATAAAGCCATTGTTGCTATGTAACAGATCGTGCGTTCAGTTGAAGCCACAGAAAGCCAATAATGACATTAAAATCTGCAATGCTCAAGCTGTAGAAACGGAAATTGAAAGAGTATTGAGTTGTTCCAGGAACATTAGTAAACAACCCAACGGCATCCCACTCGTCAGTGAACGATGCACGACAATTAGTCTTCATGCAACAACTCCAGTGTACATATGGACTAGCAATTATTTGCCCATTGACTTCAATGTTAAATGGCTGTAACATCACAGGCTGTAGCTTTTTGTTGGCCCAACATTCCATTGGTTCCAATATTTATGGGCACAATGGGGACCACATTTGGCAATCTCCTCATCATAATTTTTAAGGGGTTTGACTGTTTACATTTTTTTGCTGCGGGGATTTGATGTTGACTGGGGTCAAAATCTCACATCCGACACAATGATTACTCTGCAGAAAGACACTTTACATCCCCTATCCCTCCACTGTAATATCATCAGTATTACCCAAAACTTCTATGAAATTGCAAATTTGATTGCTTTTCTCCTATTCTAGACCAAAAAGTCAACGACGAAAATACAGGAAGAGTGGTGAAAACAATTAAGGGAAACATTGTCCATTTACAACTCGCACTACATTCGTCCATAATGAAAAAGGGGAAATACTAGTCTTAGTCCAAATGTCTTGCACAGTGTCATCAAAATGTACATGTAGTGATACTAATATTCAAGACATAACATGCCTTGTTTTTGATGTATGTCAAAATAAAATGTTGAATTAGGTTCAATGATGACATCACAATTCCTGTTTCAAAAGATGACTTTGGTTTGTTTACTAATATTTCTGAAACAACTCAATACTGTTTCAACTTCCATTTCTAAAGTTTGGATATAACAAACGCTTGTCATGCAAGATGCGTCCTCATTTTGCACTAGGACAGAGAACAAGTTCAAAAAGCAATTTTTGTACAATAGGGTGCCATAATCCACGACGTTACCGTCCAATACATGCCAATTCCGTAATGAACCGATATCTTTCAAGTGGCGTCACAAACGGAGAAACATTGTGACCTGTAGAGTGTCTACAAACAAAATGCAGACGGATGTCCGGACGGACAAGAGCGACGACAATCTGCGTCCACATGTAAATGTGGAAGCATAAAAAGGGAGAAAGAGAGAAATGGGTCTCAACGTCCACTCGACACAAACTAGTCATTTCAGGACTAACATATTATTTCAATAATTCAGTTGTGTGTTAAACTATAAGACCCCCGCCCCTTAAAAATTATAATGTACGTTATCAAGACAATACACTTGCTATAAATAAATATGGAACGTAATATAAGATATGATTTTAATACAGTACAATAACTAGAAGTTGTGCTTTACAAATACAGTCCAATTACTAGGAGGTATGGTTTTCAAATACAATTACTAGAAGGTATAGTTTTTAAATGCAATACAATTATTGTAAGGTTTTAATACAATACAATTAGTAGAAGTAAAGTTTTAATACAGTACACTTATTATAAGGTTATGTTTTAATCCAGTTATTGAAATGATTGATCATGCCGAATTAGAAGAAAATATGTTAACAATTATTGCAACCTGTAGAGTATTTGCGGACAAAATGTTAAAAAAAAAATGGGTCGGGGCATGCACCAAAATCAATATTTGCCGTCCTTAGGGTGTACAGAATAAGTATGCCAATTTCCTTAAAAGCAAGGTGTATTAAACCGGAGAATATTTAATTTCATTTACCATCTTCGAGCAACACCCACCAAGAGTACTTTATCTACATCAAATTGCATGTCACTTCCAATTCACACACATCTAACTCATCAGAATCTTTGATTATTCTGACGTAACGTCCGATAGTGACGTCATCACATTCAAATGTGCGAGAAGTCAAACCGAAAATCCCTGGTATAAATTTACAAATGATGGGTGTGGTTGTTGTAGTAGTTGGATCAGACTCATAAACCAATATACTTGCATTTGTCATTCTTTCATAAACCCCTGAAAAAATATATATTAGATACAAAACAGTTAATTTATTGATTTAAAACTTCTGTCGATGCATTACTTGTATCTCCAATCGATATGATGCAATATCCTTAAATATCCCCCGTTTTACCTTATGCTCCTCTTTTGGAAACAAGAGCATTTCAATTCAAACAATCAGGGTCCTGTTTCTCGGAATCTAAACTATACAATCCACATTTTAGTAGATACTTCAATTTTGATTGGCTAAGCACTAAAATCAATCTAATATTATCAAATCAAATTACTAAAATTTGGATTTTATCTTAGTTAAAATTTCGTGAAACAGGCCCCTGATCATAGTAACATACCTCTACAAATGTGACATAGATTAATGACCAACTTGCTATTTCATCAGAAACCAATCTGGTCAGTTTCACTGTCATTGAGTCTACTGGCGTGGTTTCGAATCCCCGGTTGTACGTTACAAGGAGTAGGGTCGCCTGTCCAACCTCGTGGGTTTTCTCCGGGTCCTCCCGTCTCCTCCCACTGCTAAAGACCCCTATGCGCAAGCGAATTCTTGAAATAAAATTAAAACCATATGTTAGTCCCGAAATGACCTAGTTTGTGTCGAGTGGACGTCAAACCCCATTCTATCTCTCTCTGGTCAGTTTCACCAGATCGTATGTCTGTTACCGCTCGTTAATTCTGTCTGTTACATAGAAAGACAACTCGTGTTTGTCATGTTTGACGTCACTTCCCGTTTCTTCACGTGCTTGTTTCTCAGCGATCGTAGCAATGATCTCTGTGTTAAAATTATATTTGGGATGTATTTAACGAGCTCTCTCACATATTTTATAATGACTGACACCAATATTGGCCTTTAACAACTGGAATATCGAAACCACATGAACCCAAAATATAAGTCAATAATCCTGAAAACTTATAAGATATTTTTTACGAGCCATATCCACAGAGAACAATCGCCATTGTGGGTTATATTTTTATTTGCACCATCTGGGCTATTCAAAATTACTTTTTTGTGTGTCGGATTTGAACTCTGTTACTTCACAAAGTACAAACTTTGTCCAACAGAAGCCACTGACGGATAATTAAAAATCTGCCATTTGGTCTTCACTTTGGATGCCATATTTACTTTCGGAAATGATTTTTGAGAAAAAATGGCAACCAAATGCTAAACAAAACCATTTGAAAAAAATGTTACAGGTCATATCCATCAGGTAAAATTGATGATTAAATGTGCCATTTTAAGTTTCTGCCATGTTGGATTTTCGCAACCCATTTTTAAATTCAGAGACATCATAAACCCTACACGAATCAGTGACCCGGAAATACATGGGGACGATGCCATTTTATTCTCAAGTTTGGAAGCCATTTTGAGAGAAATGGCCGGTACCATGTAAAAACCATACATTTTTAAAAAAAAATTGTTTTGGTCACTATCGTTTTTTTTTTCGCTTCTATAACCACTTTGTTTTGTAATTTTTTTTTAAAAAATCTATTTATTGTGCCACCACTGAAACGCACTGGTTACGTAATCTCACTCTCAGGAACTTCCCGGAGGCGGCCATATAGACTTATGTTAATTACTTCATATCGCAGTGGCCGATTTCGGCCGAATTTAAGTATGATGCTGTTTAATAGATGTATGATTAAACACAATAGCAACATTGGTTTATTTTGCAATTTGGTTGGGGTCACTCCACTTTTAAGATTAACTTTCACTTAAATTAGTGGTACAAAAAACAGACTCTGGACGGCCCCCTGGATTTTAGGCTTACACCTTTCAATAGCGGTTTTAGGGTCCGTGCACTATTATTAGATTGTTTTTTTTTATTAAAGATTAACTTACTGTCCCGATAATCGTGGCGATTGACTATGGTAACACTGGTAATGTTAAAAGTAAATTCAAGATCAACTTGTAACCATGGAGCATAATCACCAGAGCTAGTATGACTGCAGCTTAACCCTTCATATGAATTACCATTTCTATTCCCGTCGACAGCCAGTGATGATGACAAGGGTACATGATGTGGGGCAGTTGAGCTTTGTTCAGTAGGTTTACCCAAGGCAATGTTCGGTCCATCTGAAATTATCGACACTCGTAGTTTGAATAAAAACATTATCAGACAGAACCAGGGTGTTTTTATATCTTGTACCTTTGTATTTAAATAAGATAACAGTGACAGTTATGAACCAGGGAGTAAGACGGATCGACATATATAATACACATAGTCCTCATTCCCAAATGTGTAACAACCTCTTTAATTATTTATCTGATTATAATATTCTCCTCATTCCTAAATTTGTAAGAACCTCTTTATTTATTTATCTGATTATATTAAATACATACATACACATTCCTAAATTTGTAAGAACCTCTTTAATTATCTGAGTATATTTAGTTTGATCTGGTTTCACACAAAGGCATAATGTTGTAAGCAATTGAACAATATGTTTTTGTAGAGGAAACATTCTGTTTCTCGTGCCTTTATTGATGTTGCGGAAATAATTCAGTGGTTTTTAGGTGTTAAATGGGCGAATCAAGGAGAGTTAAATAGTTTTAGGGAGGTGTGTGCTCGCCGGTTTGGGACTTTAGTACTAATATATACTGAGTGCATTGGAAAACGCATCACTTAGTTTTTCGTATAACAAAATGATCCTGTAAACATATCTTATTTATTTTGCTTCTTATTGTGAACGATATTCAAATGGGAACACATCAATAAGAACACAATTGTACACTTATGGATGTTTAATCTGTAATCAACGGTACAAAGTCAGAGGGGTCAAAACTAAAAGTACGACACAGATGTCAGTAGCGCGTGTGTCCTCCATGTGCTCTTAGGCACGCTGTGCAGCGACGTCGCATGGAATTTACCAATGTTTGAAAGAAGGCCTGGGGCGAATTGTTCCATTCTTGGACAAGAGCAGCTTCTAAAGCAGCAGTGGTGTGCATCCGTTTCCTCCGCTACAATCCAATCTCATCCCAGACATTTTCTATCTGTGCCATGTCCGGAGACATGGCTGGCCAGTCCAAGACATTGATGTTGTTAGCAGCCAGGTAGTCCATACTAAAACTGTTGGAAGTGCTGAAGTTGTGGGTGCGCTCGAAACATCGGAACAACAATTGGTTGCAAGACATCATCATGGTAGGCTACAGCATTAACGCTGTGAAGCCTCCCCACACCATTACACTTCCCCCACCCCATCGATTCGTTTCGAAGACGCAACAGTCTGCAAGACGTTCCCCAAGACGTCTCCACACGTTGACGGCAAACAGCGTGATAAAGATGAAAGCGACTCTCATCACTGAAGAGCACAATTTGCCAGTCTACTCTTCTCCATGTCTGGTGTCCTTGAGCCCATATCAAACGCCGCTGACGGTGATGATCCATGAGGATAGCTCCAACATAAGGTCGTCGTGCACGGAGTCCTACTTCTCTTAGGCGACGTCTTACGATGTTGGCACTTACTGGTCCTTGTCTTCCGACGACTTCTGCACCTGTTCGAGTCGCTGGGCGGAATCTGTCACGCAGATGAGTGACCCGGATGTAGCGGTCTTGAGCCTGGGTTGTAACGCGTTGTGGACCAGGACGTTGACGGTCACGTGTTGATCCAGTAACTCGAACACGTTCCACCAACCTTACAATAGTGGACTGATGACAATTGAAGTGTCTGGCAATAGCACGTGTAGACATGCCAGCCCTAGACATTCCCATGGCTTCATTCCGTTGATTTTCAGTAGTAAGTCTCGGCATCTCTAGCTCGATTCCTTCACACGTCCAACAACAAAGTACGACAGATTGACATTTCACAGTTCATGCAATGCACATTAAGTTGAAAACATGCTTTTAAAGGGCTCACACACAATGCTGCACGTGAATATTGGGTTTTTCATGTGCATCTCGTGCAATTTTTTTTGGTGCACACGGGCCGATATTTTTTGCGTTTGGGAGCATTGTGCGAAACAATAGTTCATAGTATTGCATAATATTATACATACAAAACCACCTAGTAATAAAATATTTGGGAAAAAAAGTGACGCGTTTTCCATGGCGCTCAGTATATTTATATCATAATGTGTTCATGTAGGGCTGGGTATTGCATGGCGGGGAGTAAAGTACGAAGCTTCTTAAAGTGTCAGTCAGATCTTTGATGTATCAATTGCCTTTATATTTGTCTTGTCTACCTAATTGTAATGGAATAAATTAAGAAGTGGGTTTTCGTCCGCTTTTTAAGTGTATTTGACGTATTTAGTATGGGACTATATATTGGTCTTTTGTTTGGAATTCACTATGTGTATTCTTCTACGACTAAGTAGGTGTCATCACTACTCTACGGCGCAATGTTTTGTAGACGGCTCGAGCTGTAATAAAAGTTGCCCATAGTGAAAGCTGTTTTGTGAAGTGTTGCGTGGATCACTAAGATTGATAAAAACTGATAGTTAACAAGCAAACAATAAGGCCGATGTCCCCCCGACGAAATCCCAAAATAAATAGATGAAACACATTTTTTTTCGATAGTGTCGAGTAATCAAACTGATTATCCGTGCCTTGTCTAAGCATAAAATGTTCACGGCTAAATCCATTCACGTTTTGAAGTACCTGGTAGTGATCGAAACTCTACACTGGGTTTCATCACTCTCCACCAGTTAGAATCAAAGTTATCTTGTCCCAAAGCATCGACGAATAAAATTGCTAAGCTGTGTTTACCTTTAGCGGAAATTATTAACCATTGAACTATGCCAAAATACTCGCCTAATGAACATATATACCTCAATCAAAAGCAGAGTTGTTATGTTCCAAAGTCTTCAATCAAAGCAGAATTGTTATGTTCCAAAGTCTTCAATCCAATTGCTTATCGCTACTTAGGCAAAACAGAATATTATCATCACCGCACTTAGTCAAGGTGATTGATATAATGAATCTATACTCGGAGTGTCATCTCTCTCACCCAGTTAGAACCAAAGTTATCATGTTCACAAATCTTAACCAATCACATGGATTATCTGTGTTTAGCCTTAGCGCATGGAGAGTTATTGTGTTATAATGTCTCGATAAATCAGATTGAGGTCTCTTCTATGCCTAAGCAGAACATGCTCAGCATCGAAAATTGTTAAAGTATTGATGTAATAAAACTATCACTCAATTAGAAATAAAGTTGTCAAGCGTCAACGTCTCGACCAATCTAATAGCTTATCGCTCTGCTTACCTTGGGTCGAATATGCTCAGTATCACACTTAGTCAAGGTATTGATGTGATGAAACTATACACCAAGTTTCATCATTCTCACTTAATTAAAACTAAACTTATCGTGTCCCAAGCATCAACTAATGCTTAGCCTCAATCAAGCCATTTACGTAATTAACTTAGTTTGAACATTCCACCTCAATTCTAGACCAATCAAATTGCTTGTCGCACCACTTAACCACAGCAAAAAGTGCTCGTTGTCGAAATTAGTCAAGGTATTGATGAAGTTTAATCACTCTCACTTAATCAGAACCAAAGTTATCGTGTCCCAAAGCATCAACCAATCAAATTGCTTATCGCTGCTTACCCTAAGTAGAAAATGCTCATCTTCGAACCCTATCAAGGTATTCACATAATGAACACCTACGCCAAGTTTGAACATTCTAGCTGAATTAGAAGGGACGTGTGACGGACAGACAGACAGACCCGTTTTTTATAGTCCCCTGCTTTATTGGAAAGGCGAGGGGGGGGGGGGGGTATGATCAACACGATCGTCTAAATTTATGAGCATTGTCATTACTTAACAAACGAAACCGACAGTTTCACGAAATTAACATATGGTTAAAATTGGTGATATAGTTTCATAACTTACTTGGAAATCGTTTACAACCGTTTCCATTACTCGTGTTCTGCTGGTACGAGAACTCATTAACTGAAAGATATAACGATCTTTACTGTAACATACATGTAGTAATTATGATATATCGTAGCCCCCCCCCCCCTCAATTAAACAAATGCGAATTTAAATAAATTTTAATTTTATACAACTAATAAGTGCTAGTTTACCTATCTGATGCCTGGGCCTACAAAAGCCCAGAAGGTCCATTCTAAATTCCAAATGCGAAATTCCAAATTCCAAATGCGATCGTATACTGTCGTCGCCCCCATCCGTCCGCCAGTCCGGCGTCCACAATTGCTTGTGGGCACTCTAGAGGCTAAAGTTAATATATGATTGACTTTAAATTTATATACAGTGTTTAAGGTCATGAGGCGAACAAGCCTATTGAATTTCAGCGATTTCGAATAGTTATGGCCCTTGATCACTTCAAAAAATCTTATGGCCGCTCTAAAGGCTAAAGTTAATATCCGATTGACTTGAAATTTACACACAGTGTTTAAGGTCATAAGTCGAAGAAGTCTATTTCCGATAATTACTGCCAGAGTTATGGCCCTTGATCACTTCAAAAAATCTTTTTTACGCTCTAGAGATTAAAGTTAATATCCGATTGACTTTAAATTTATACACAGTGTTTAAGGTCATGAAATGAAGAAGGCTATAGATTTTCAGCGATTTCCGAAAATTACTGCCAGAGTTGTGGCCCTTGGTCACTTCAAAATATCTTGTGGATTCTCTAGAAGCTAAAGATAATATCCGATTGATTTTAAATTTATATACAGTGTTTAAATTCATGAGACGAGGAAGCCTATTGATTATCAGCGAGTTATGGCCCTTGATCACTTCAGAAAATCTTGTGGACGCTCTGGATGATAAAGTACATATCCGATTGACTTTAGTTTTATACACAAATAAGCCTATTGATTTTCAACCATTTCCAATAATTACTGCCAAAGTTATGGTCCTTGATCACTTAGAAAAATTTTGTTTCGACCTAGAGGCTAAACGTATGATCCGCTTGACTCCAGATTGATACACAGAGTTTAAGGTCTTGAGACGATCGAACAAGTATATTGATTTTCACTGAACAGCTAAATCCATATTAAATGTTTCGTACACTAAACGTGAGCATAGGGCAGAACTTTAATAAAAACCAAACAAATTCTAATGATTTTCTGATAATTACTTAATGAGTTGTTACTCTTAATCAGATTTTAGTGTATTATAAATGTTTCATTACCGAAAAAAGTAAAAATATGCGACAACTCTTGTTGACTGCCCGGACGATTTAGCTGCCGTGGGCGTATTATCTTCCCTGCAGCAGCCATGATGATTGTGATGTCACGTGATTATGTCGAATTTGCAATTTCGCATTTGGAATTTGCAATTTCGAATCTAGCACTATTTAGTTGTGTAAAGTTACAATTTATTTCAATTCTAATTTGTTTAATTGAGGGGGCCTGCCAATTTGCTATTTGATTGGTAAGACATGAATTTGGAATTTCGCATTTGAATTTTGAATGAAAACATACATGCCAACAACAAGATCAAAATCCTGCGACACGCCAATTAAAATGTACAATGAGCCGATGAGGGAGTTAACTAAGTGGATAGTCCATGGTCACGGAGGACCAGTTATGCAACAAATAAAGAAACCATACCTAACAACAAGTAGATCGAAGGTTTATGACGCAATTGGTAAAATTAAACAAAAGCAAGAAAAATGAGACAGTTATGTTTAATGATCCATGTGGCCACTGCGTGGTTGCGATGTTAGGAAAGTACTTGATGTTATACTGGCCACATACTACATCCAATTTTCGAACGGTATTAAACTTTTAAATTAATAAATGCACCCATGATGCTGTTTTCTCAGCAGTTATCGATACGTCGACCATGTTTGTTCTCCTTCACACCAGCTATGAGGTAGTTCGTGAAGGTAGTTCGTGAACGCATTCCAGACTGCTCAAGTCCGACAAGAACCCATTCTTCGTCCGTTCTCTGCACCGGAACACTGTTTCGAATACACCCTAGGGGTATTTAGCAAAGGGAGGAAACCGGAGGACCCGGAGAAAACCCACACGGCTGGACAGGCGACCCTATTCCTAGTCACATTCAAATGGGGGGTTCACATAATAATGGCCTATTTCAAATAAGATATTTGCATATAAAGAAAGTAGGCTTACAGCCTCTTTCAAATGTGATATTTGCATATAAAGAAAGTACAAACTTAAATCGTCAGTGCTGGATAAACTAGCCAAAGGATTTGGCTGAATCAATTGGCGCTAAACTTCACCTAGTTTATCCACTGACATACGCCCGAATCAAACATGTTTGATATATTTGGCCGAATTGTATTTGAGTGGTGTGTCCGCTTCGCCGAAGCATTCGTCTGATTTTAGAATTCATTAGCCAATCACCACTCATTCATATCGAGTGGGTATCGCAAACTAGCAGTCGAACTGTGACACGGGTGCTACAGCCAACAAATTCCAACTACCATACTATCGGCTTAAATGCACGCCAATGGGACCTCAGGTTTTGTGTTCCATTGAAACGACTAGAAATGAAATGAAATGGGGTTTAACGTCCTACTGTTTTGCTCCGAACTGGGCTAATGAAGACAGGCATACACCACACAGTGTGCTATGAGGGAAATTTTGCCCGGACAGCGGCACTGCGGTGTATCGAATTCCAACTGTCAAGGGATCTTTTACGTGCACGCCAACGTGTACACGGGACCTCGTTTTTTCATTTCATCCGAATGACTAGACAGCTGTCCTTGTCAGGCCCTCCGTCCTGCATCACTGACAAGGGGGAACCACGCCGGGAAATCTGGGTGAACTTTCTCGGCCAATGCAGGGATCGAACACCCGACCTCCAGGCTAGCGAGCCAGCGTCTTACCCACTTAGCCACCATGACGACTAGGCATGGAATCCATGCTGAAAAATTCAAATGAGCTTTCTCGGTCAACACTGGGAGCGAACCCGCAACCTCCCGGGTACCAAGCCAGTGCCTTACACACTAAGCCACATGGCTCTCTTTTTATTACTGTGACTCTCCAGTCACATGACAAACAAGGGTTATTAAAACAGATTTTCACGGTTTAGGTAAGATCTGCGGGATTAAAATGGTTTTAGATATCACACAGTTTGTATATGGTAAGGTATCTTAAACAGTTAATTACATGTCACATATTCATATTTTTCAGTTTCCATATTAGATGCCATAGCAAATCAAAGATCATATAATAAAATAAGTCAAAAAACCCAAATATGGGAAAAGAAAGAGCTGAAGAAATGGTGATTTGAGCACCTATGATTTCTCATAGGTGTTTTTGGGGGGTGAGTGTTCAATTCTAATAGAAAAGATTGTTGTTGTGGTATTTTAGAATCTCACCATAATGTGTTTGGCACAATATAGCCCGGTTGGAGCTGATGTGACATAAACCTCGATTTCATTTTAATATTTTGAAATTTAAAATTCAGTTTAGTATAGTAAAACTGTACACGTACATGTATGTGCACAGACAGAATCTTACTTATGTCCAGATACATGTAGATATGACTATCTCATCTGTGGGGACCCATGGTGACCAAGTGGGTTAGACACTGGTTTGCATATTTTAAGGTCGCGGGTTTGCAGTTAGACGATGCAGTACGGGGGGCCTTACAAGGACAGCTGTCTAGTCGTTCAGATTGAACAAAAAAACGTGGTCCCGTGTACACATTGGTGTGCATGTAAAAGAGCCCCTGGCAGTTAGAATTTGATACAAGAGTAGGCCTTAGGGTCACGGTACCCGGCAAAATTTCTCTCGTGGCACACTGTATGGCATATGCCCAACCTCATTAGCCCAGTCGAAGCTGAACAGTAGGACGCCAAACCCCATTTCATTTCATTTTTTTCATTTTGTCTCATCTGTGACAAAGCAAACCAACACATTACAATACAATTTAATTAAATTAAAACTTTCGTCTATTTAAATATTGAATCGATTTAAGTCAACTAAAACATAGTATGTTTTTTTTCTCAGTTAACTACATCAGAAAGATCAAGACAGTTGGAAATGAAGGCCATCAAAGAATTAAAAGACAATAAAGAAATATCTATTGTACCAGCAGATAAAGGGAAAGCAACAGTGATTATGGATACAGATCAATTAGAAATAATGGTGTCCCAAACCCTGTCAGATACAACAACCTATAAAAAGTTACCTAAAGATCCAACCCAAAAACTAGATCGGAAACTAAAAGCCACCTTAAAGATACTTAAAGAATCAGGTGAGATCGATCCTGAAACATATGAAAAGCTCAATATCCCGCACCCATCAACACCATATGCCAAAGCTCAGGTCAAAATACATAAGAACCCGGTCAAAGTTAGATTACTGATTTGCTCTAGAGGAACTGTATTCTACAACACAGCCAGATACCTGTCAAACGCACTATCAGAATTAGGAAAGTCAGCAGAATCATACATTAAAGACAGCAAAGAACTTCGAGGTAAAATAGAGAGACAATCACAACTAGGAAAACTGATCAGTTATGATGTAGTGGACCTATTTACCAGCATACCAATCGATGAAGCCTTAAACTGTGTGAGATCGAAAATCCAAAGTCAAACAACAAACCTCAATACCAGCATAAGTCCGGATAGTATAATGAAATTATTACAATTATGTATTACATCTACATATTTTACTTGGAAAGATGAAGTGTTTGAACAAATCCATGGGTTACCAATGGGATCACCAATAAGTCCAGTTATCACCGAAATATTTATGACAGCCTTTGAGCAAAATGCCCTGATAGTATCCCCATTCCAACCTAGTATTTGGCTTAGGAAAGTGGACGATGTGTTTGTTGTTATGAAGGAAGAGGAAGATCACCAACTACTACTCCACCACCTCAACTCAATCCATCCCCGAATACAATTTACAGTTGAAGAAGAAAATAATAAACAACTACCCTTTTTGGACATCCTAATTGATAGAAATGATGATAAATTAACTACAAAAGTGTATAGAAAACCGACTCACACAGATCAATACATTAATTTCACTTCAGCCCACCCAACAACAACCAAGGCAGGAATAGTTTCGATACTTACCAGAAGAGCTCACAATATTTGCACTGATGACAAAATTGAAGAAGAAATTGAACATATTACTGAATCTCTAACCAAAAACAACAACTACCCATTAGAATTTGTCAAAAAAGTTATTCATAGTACCACAGAAAAACTGAACAAAGCCCCAAACGTGACAGGTAAAGAAAAGGCTCCAATTCATATCAACATTCCATTTATAGGCCCAACAAGTTACAAAATTAAAAGATTACTAACTAGATTGCAAATAGATGTAACATTTAGTGGGGGGATATCATTAAAATCACTTATCAACGCCCATGGGAGAACAAAAATACCAACAGTGGACCCAAAGGGTATAGTTTACCAGATCCAATGCGATTGCAAATCCATTTACATAGGCGAAACATGCCGACCATTATCAGTGAGACTCAAAGAACACAAAGCAGCAACTAGACGTATGGAACCAAACAAATCTGCAGTAGCCGAACATATTATAAACAATCCTACCCATAACATAGAATGGGACAACACCAATGTGCTTACCAAAAATATTAAAGTATGGAAGAAAAGAGTTTTGTGGGAAGCATTAGAAATCCGAAGACAAAAACCAAAAATGAATAAAGACAATGGAAGAGCCATTTCTAATGTATGGAATGAATTATTTTGTTAAGCAAGTTATTATCTATTATTGGAACTATTTATAAGTATTATGCAATAGGATACCATAAGTATCAATTATCAGTGAAGTAAAATTAAAATAATTTTTATCAGTGGAGTGGATCTATAAGTTATTATTCGTATCAGTGGAGTGGAAATTAAAAATTTTATTTATCAGTGGAACTATTATTTATAAGGGCTACTATAACTTATTTATTTGTTCTATTGGAACAATAATTAAAACATTTTCTATATAATAATATCGTAAATGTATGAGCAAGAGGGGGTGGGTTTAACCTAACTAATTATGCATAATGTATTGAAATTAGTCATATTAAATATTTGATGGTGTGGTTAATGGGTTTTGATTGCATTTTAGCTTAGGCGGTGGCTTCAATCCCCACTTTTAACACCTTAAATTGAAGAAAAATGGTAAAGCCATACTCAAAGGGAAATGTTTGTTGTTATAGTCTTAATTAATGTTATGTTTTTATTGTTAAATGGTTCTTACTCATGGATGTACTATAAATGTAGAGTTGTTATTCATTATTGATCATTGCTTGATAAAGATACCTGTAAGAGTATTGAAACGTTGCATGTAATAAACCAAGAAGTAGTAAATCCATAAAGTTGTGTTATTATGAATATTATACCTCTACTTCTAAATGTCATTCAAAGTACATTTTACCTGATTATCAAGCTCTGTGAGAAAAAGTTTCCATAATATGAATAGCCATTTCCAACTGTCTTGATCTTTCTGATGTAGTTAACTGAGAAAAAAAACATACTATGTTTTAGTTGACTTAAATCGATTCAATATTTAAATAGACGAAAGTTTTAATTTAATTAAATTGTATTGTAATGTGTTGGTTTGCTTTGTCACAGATGAGACAAAATGAAAAAAATGAAATGAAATAGGGTTTGGCGTCCTACTGTTCAGCTTCGACTGGGCTAATGAGGTTGGGCATATGCCATACAGTGTGCCACGAGAGAAATTTTGCCGGGTACCGTGACCCTAAGGCCTACTCTTGTATCAAATTCTAACTGCCAGGGGCTCTTTTACATGCACACCAATGTGTACACGGGACCACGTTTTTTTGTTCAATCTGAACGACTAGACAGCTGTCCTTGTAAGGCCCCCCGTACTGCATCGTCTAACTGCAAACCCGCGACCTTAAAATATGCAAACCAGTGTCTAACCCACTTGGTCACCATGGGTCCCCACAGATGAGATAGTCATATCTACATGTATCTGGACATAAGTAAGATTCTGTCTGTGCACATACATGTACGTGTACAGTTTTACTATACTAAACTGAATTTTAAATTTCAAAATATTAAAATGAAATCGAGGTTTATGTCACATCAGCTCCAACCGGGCTATATTGTGCCAAACACATTATGGTGAGATTCTAAAATACCACAACAACAATCTTTTCTATTAGAATTGAACACTCACCCCCCAAAAACACCTATGAGAAATCATAGGTGCTCAAATCACCATTTCTTCAGCTCTTTCTTTTCCCATATTTGGGTTTTTTGACTTATTTTATTATATGATCTTTGATTTGCTATGGCATCTAATATGGAAACTGAAAAATATGAATATGTGACATGTAATTAACTGTTTAAGATACCTTACCATATACAAACTGTGTGATATCTAAAACCATTTTAATCCCGCAGATCTTACCTAAACCGTGAAAATCTGTTTTAATAACCCTTGTTTGTCATGTGACTGGAGAGTCACAGTAATAAAAAGAGAGCCATGTGGCTTAGTGTGTAAGGCACTGGCTTGGTACCCGGGAGGTTGCGGGTTCGCTCCCAGTGTTGACCGAGAAAGCTCATTTGAATTTTTCAGCATGGATTCCATGCCTAGTCGTCATGGTGGCTAAGTGGGTAAGACGCTGGCTCGCTAGCCTGGAGGTCGGGTGTTCGATCCCTGCATTGGCCGAGAAAGTTCACCCAGATTTCCCGGCGTGGTTCCCCCTTGTCAGTGATGCAGGACGGAGGGCCTGACAAGGACAGCTGTCTAGTCATTCGGATGAAATGAAAAAACGAGGTCCCGTGTACACGTTGGCGTGCACGTAAAAGATCCCTTGACAGTTGGAATTCGATACACCGCAGTGCCGCTGTCCGGGCAAAATTTCCCTCATAGCACACTGTGTGGTGTATGCCTGTCTTCATTAGCCCAGTTCGGAGCAAAACAGTAGGACGTTAAACCCCATTTCATTTCATTTCTAGTCGTTTCAATGGAACACAAAACCTGAGGTCCCATTGGCGTGCATTTAAGCCGATAGTATGGTAGTTGGAATTTGTTGGCTGTAGCACCCGTGTCACAGTTCGACTGCTAGTTTGCGATACCCACTCGATATGAATGAGTGGTGATTGGCTAATGAATTCTAAAATCAGACGAATGCTTCGGCGAAGCGGACACACCACTCAAATACAATTCGGCCAAATATATCAAACATGTTTGATTCGGGCGTATGTCAGTGGATAAACTAGGTGAAGTTTAGCGCCAATTGATTCAGCCAAATCCTTTGGCTAGTTTATCCAGCACTGACGATTTAAGTTTGTACTTTCTTTATATGCAAATATCACATTTGAAAGAGGCTGTAAGCCTACTTTCTTTATATGCAAATATCTTATTTGAAATAGGCCATTATTATGTGATTCCCCACTTGAATGTGACTAGGAATAGGGTCGCCTGTCCAGCCGTGTGGGTTTTCTCCGGGTCCTCCGGTTTCCTCCCTTTGCTAAATACCCCTAGGGTGTATTCGAAACAGTGTTCCGGTGCAGAGAACGGACGAAGAATGGGTTCTTGTCGGACTTGAGCAGTCTGGAATGCGTTCACGAACTACCTTCACGAACTACCTCATAGCTGGTGTGAAGGAGAACAAACATGGTCGACGTATCGATAACTGCTGAGAAAACAGCATCATGGGTGCATTTATTAATTTAAAAGTTTAATACCGTTCGAAAATTGGATGTAGTATGTGGCCAGTATAACATCAAGTAAGTTAGGTTGCCAGGCAACGAAACATGCCCACAGCAGTTTAATCGTTTGCGCAGTCAACAGGGATTGTCGCATGTTCATTCTTTTGTAGGTAATGTGGGCATTTACAAGAAAATTTCATACAAGATTATAATTTTCGTCGTTTGTGGTTTTACAAAGGTCGACGCATCGATAACTGCTGAGAAAACAGCATCATGGGTGCATTTATTAATTTAGAAGTTTAATACCGTTCGAAAATTGGATGTAGTATGTGGCCAGTATAACATGAAGTAAGTTAGGTTGCTAGGCAACGAAACATATGCCCACAGCAGTTTAATCGTTTGCGCAGTCAACAGGGATTGTCGCATATTCATTCTTTTGTAGGTAATGTGGGCATTTACAAGAAAATTTCATACAAGATTATAATTTTCGTCGTTTGTGGGTTTACAAAGGTTCTACAAACTGAAACAAGGGCCTTAATTGTTGAAATTTGACAGATGTTTTTGTTTTGTGTTTTACTAATTTAAATAATGCATACAATTTTCATACAAATCGGATGATAATTTTGTTGTTCGTGCGTTCACAAGGTTCGAAAAAGTGAAACAAGGGCCACAACTCTAGACATAATTCACAGAAATCGCAGAAATTTAATAGACGTCTTCGTTTCACTAATTTAAAAGATTCAAATGAATTTCACAAAGTGAAACAAGGGCCATAACTCCAGAAGAAACTAACAGAAATTATTGAAATTAAATAGGATTCATCTCATTAAAATAAACAACATATCAATTTTAAAATAATCAGTTCTGTAGACGACGGACAAACCTACGGACGAGGGCGTATCAAAAGGTGATGTCATCGTCATCCAAAGAATTGAAAAGGAGTAAAACGGTGTCATAATTTATCAAAATTATGCTTAATAGCGAAGTAAATACTAAACAAGTTATCGTAACAGATTGTATAAATTTAATTCATCTTGTTACCATGGATACCGTTGTCTCATGTTCGAGACTCATGAAAGTGTTTTCATGTTCTTCAGCCGTTCTCGAACCTGCGCAAACACTGTTTCTAATACACTCCTACGGTACGCGCAAGCAAATCATTCAAATAAAATTGAACAATATTAGCCTCGAAATTACCTAGCGCCAGTAAGTATAAAGGATCTATCCGACAAACACTAACAACAACTCTAGGTTGATTACATGTCATTTGGGACTCACGTCATTGGGACTCGCGTCATTTGGGACTCAAAAAAATATGACCACGACATTTGGGACTCCAGTATACGACGTTTGGGACTTTGGTATACGTCGTTTGGGACTCGGGATAATTTATTAGAAATAGGCCAATTCAAACAAAACACGAAAGAAAATATTTATTAACATGAAACACGTGGTTAGTAAAAGGCTCAACCAAACGATAAAACATTAGTTGCACTTACGGTTCTTTGATAATCATCGTTTCTCATAAAAGTTTTATATTTATTTAAAACGAATAATATGCTGATGAATTTATTTGAAAATGACCTACACAAAAAACAAAATAAATATTTACACGACATGCAATCTTTTTTTACAAGCCCCTAGAAATTGTTAACGATAATCCGTGAGCTGCACGTTGACATGCTTGTCGTAGGTGGTAATACCAATTGATAAATTAGTGCGTACAAGGCAAAGTTTTTTTGTGGAAAATATAAGAAATGGCAACGATCAAAGCGGGATAATTAAAGCTGATTTACTGATAATCCCAATGTTATTACAGTATGTTCAAAGAAACCTAACGGTTCTTTGGTGGATGAGGTAAAATGTGAGTTGTCAATCATCGAGAATGGCGGCCGTGTGTTGATTGCAGTTATACCGTTTCACGAAAAAACATTAGCAGTGGTCGGTCAATCAAGCTCGTTTACTATTTATAACGCAAATTTTTCGTTTCGGTTAAAACAAAATATACGTCCATTTTAATTGGCCGAAGGATGTGTGACTAATAGAAATATGGCGGGCGGACAAACTGACCAAACAGTATATTTCGAGGTATTTGAGGTAAGCTAATTTAATATTATATCATAACTGCATGTGCATACTTGTGTTTCTGTGTGATTAAATATTCAAAAAATCATTTTTAGGATACAGCCTCGACACCAGTCAGCCCTGAATTGCAATGTTTGTTTTGTGTTCTGGGCGCCATTTTGAAGAAAACTGACATGACCTATATAATACAATCCAGCGATAGTGCAGTCAATTTCCTTTAAAAGGGAATCCGAATTTGTTAATTTTCTGCAATATCACTTCGGTGGTAGCGGACGTTAAATAAAGCTATTTCACGTACAAAGACCTACAATAAAATCCAGGTGAATTGGGAAAAATATTCATGTATTTTCTTGATGAAGAGTAGCTATTTCAATTTGTAAATGCCCAGTCATCTTAGACAAATAATAATTCCAACTTCAAATCAGTTGTATTTATTCAAATCATACTATGAATAATTGTATTTTTCCACTTGCATAATAATAAAAACTTGACTTTTATTATTTTATTTCTTCAGGCCAAGAACATGGAAAATTGGTAATTGCCTTGTATCACTGCTAACTATAAGGCACAGGGAGCCTTGGGCAGAAATGATAATAATATGGTTCTCAGATATGTTACTGTGTACAGACTGAACAAAAAATATATATACACTTGCTATTACATGTACATTATATCATTGGCAATAATAAGATCCAATTTTAGTTTTTAGTTACACACTGTTAACCACCAATAGATGAAAATAAATCATAAAATGTATTCAGCTCGACGTAAGACTTAAATAAAAAGATACAGTTGGTTTAACTTGAATAGAAGTTTTAATTATCTATGCTGCATATATGCATATATCACCTTGCAGCTGAATCACATTACATATCTTTTTAGTTGATGTTCATATCGTCTTACGTATTTGTCAACATCAATGTGACCTTGTTCTATGTCACATTAGCCTATTCACACTTGTTACCACGAATTTACTCACCACACCCTCGCATAGTTATGAATTTATTGTTTCACTTGACTAAAGAAACATTTTGTAGGAATGTATGCTTTTATAGATTGGACACTTGTTTGCAATATCATTGTCGGTGGAAACTGGCACTATACCTAAAGAATGACTGAACAAATAGCGGAGACGGGGTTTCAGCCGGCTGATTTAAATTATTTCTTTAAATACAGTAAAGCTTGAAATATGTCAGTTTTCCCTCTTTAGAATGTTTTTGTAAATAAGTTTTTATTGTAGTTTCCGTGGCGTATTCCCAATAAGCGTTAGAAACAAAGATATACACCCTTAATCCCGGTGCCGATAAATGTTGGGTTGTGTGGAACATGCTAACAAATCTCAGGTACGATATATGTTTGATTCTGGTTGAGAACAGCATGAGAGCAACATGATTGTTTTCATTGGAGATGAGACGCAAATATTCAAAGGGGTCAGACAAACTCTAAACCAACCGCGTTCCCTTCACTGAGTCCCTTCAAAGGAGGCCCTGTCTGTCTACCTGTGGAATAACATGCATTTGTATCTGTTAAATTTGTGTGGTAGACAGATTGATATTATTTATATAACGTCTTACCCCAAACAAATTGCAAAAGAAACCATGAAGTTTCTGAGAGCGATATTTCGTAATTAGTGTGCTTTAATGGTGGGAGAATAAATAATTAAATTTTTCAAATACAAACTGGTCATATATAAAATAGCATTTTCTGACAAGACCAGCGATAATCTCGTAAGATATGACTTTTACTATGTCTATTAAATGGTTTTCGACGTCTCTTCAAGGTCACCGTCTTGCGCCAAAGTCGTGAAACGCACCGTCGGGGGATTTGTTGGGGCCTGTCTCCCCCAGAAAAATTTCTAGAAATTTCAAGTCGGTCTTGCCTGGCCGTGAATACGGCAACCTGAAAGTGGTCGATTTTAATGTAGACATCTGAACTCCAATCAACAAATCAATCAACCAGGCTGTTGTCGTTGCATTCACATGACACCAGACGTGTCACCGATGAAACAAATATGCCTGAAACAAATGTCGCTGTTAGTGCGACCCATTTGTGACAATTTCAAGGTCCCAAATAATAGTCCTTTTTTACTATTAATAGTAATTCAATCAGTAAGTGCTATTTACCTTATAATAGTCGTCTTGGCTTTTACCCGACATTACACAAAACACCAATGGTAACTGTCGGGTGGTCTCTCCAGTCTTAATGAAGGCGTGTATGGAAAACAGCTGAGACCATGGCTTGTTCACCACCCGAAAAGTTGCATCCATATACCAAGTTTTTGCGCGTGCGGGTAGTTGCATCTGTCTATCAGTACAAAAAATGTGATGGCGCCTTTCCCCAACTTTTACTCTTTATTGATAAAATCCCGGTGCACTATGATCGTGAAATCTTCGTCAAGCTAAAACAAAAAATAAATAAAAAAGTACATTTAAGTACATGTTAATAAATAAATAAAATTGTACATTTAATTACATGTTAATAAATTCTTATATACATGGGTATTTAATTGCATGAGTACTTACGCCTGACGACACGTCAGTGGGATCTTTTGGTCGCAGAGTCTGTCGGGTTCTTTATAGCGACCTTACAAGTGCTGCAATGGGTGGTCTGCTATGAATGGGTTCTTCTGCAGAACCGACACTGGATAAAACTCTCTCCGCTATTGAGGAACATGCCTTGGTAAAAACATTTCCTTTGGCTTCATGCTTTGCCTGTAATGATAAGATAAAACATATTAAACTACAAATATATTATTGGTTTATTTATATTTTATTTATTTATTTATATACTATTCAAAAAAAGTAGGGGATATTTGATTTTTAAGTGTTATTAAAGTCACCTAATGAAACTGACGAAGAAACAAATGACAAAATGAAATGAAGTTCACATTCATCGATTTATTCCAAATGATCGTTAGACTAAGTAAGGCACAGACTGACCATTATAAGGGTAAAATGATACCCGGGGCCAAACAGCAAAGTTACCACAGCATCACAACCAAGTCAGTAACGGGTAAATCCTCCTCTGTTTGCCAAACAAGCATTGATCTGACGTGGCATACTCCTAATGAGACGTCTAAGGTCATTTTGGTCCAGATTGTCCCATTCATGTTGCAACGCAGCAGCAAGTTCTTGGACATTGGCAGGACGTTGTTGACGTTGACGTAACCTCTGTCCAAGCATGTCCCAGACATGCTCGATGGGGGAGAGGTCGGGACTCAGTGCTGGCCAAGGTAATGTGGTGATGTTCTGTTGTTGGAGGTAACCTGTAACGATCCTGGCCCTGTGGCCCTGGAAGATGAAACGGCGGCCATGACGTCGTGCGAACGGCACAACATGGACTGCCAAGATGTTGTCCCGGTAGTACTGGCCTGTAACACGCCCTGCAACAACATGTAAAGCCGTTCTTCCAGCAACAGTGATGCCTCCCCACACCATAACAGAACCACCCCCAAATCGATCATGTCTGATGACGTTAACGTCTTGGAAGCGCTCGTTTCGACGACGCCACACCCTCCTACGTCTGTCCAAAAAATCAACAGTGAACCTTGACTCATCTGAAAACATCACATTGCTCCAGCGTCGATTATCCCAGTGTTGACGATCCCTACACCAACGACGTCTTGCCTGAATGTGATGATCTCTCAAACAAGGGATCACGCGAGGACGTCGGGCGCGAAGGTGACCCCTATGCAGTCGATTCCGAATCGTCTGGCCACTCACTCTCACACCAGTGTCTGTTTGAAGACGAGCGCTGATCTGATTTGCTGTGATGACACGATTTCTCAAGGCCAAGGTACGGATAAATCGATCCTGGGCTTGAGTTGTCGCCCTTGGTCGACCTGAGCGTGGTCTGTCCTGTACAGATTGTGTATCACGGTATCTGGACCATAGCCTGCTTATGACAGACTGAGAAACATTCATCGTCCGCGCCACAACCGCCTGTGTTGTGCCGATCTGTAGCATGCCAAGGGCACGTAACCTTTCATTTTGGGTAAGCCGACGCATATCAAAATTTGTTTTCTGGTCACTAAAACATTTAAACTGATGTTTCCACCCTGGAATTCAATGCTACAATGACTGTAACATTCAAAGTCAGAGTCGTGCAAATCTTGGGTTGGACCCCCATGATGATCCCAAGCATCACCTGCATTCCATGCGGTAGCTATTGGTGCGTTTGGGCGTCACATGTAACTGGAAATGTTTCTTCTGTTAGGTTCTATAGTGACTTTTTTCGTAGTCATTTGCATATTTTAGTATTATGCCCCCAAAATCAAATATCCCCTACTTTTTTTGAATAGTATATATACTATAGCGAGTACGTGAAACAGTTAGACTGTTGAACACGGAGTCTTTCGTTTGTTTAATACACAAATACCTGATCACATGTGTTCTTTTGTACATTACGTTTTTGAGGGTTGTCACAACAAATAATTAAAGTGGCGACAATAAAGGGAATTTATTAAAGTAATAGATATGTTTTATGTATTAGCATGGCTGTCACGCTGCATATTACAATAAACTTTTATACATATGGTAGATAAACTCTTCGGGAAACAGAATAAGAAAATAAAATTTATTTAAGTTATGAACGTGTTTAATTGATTCATTGATTCGCATGGCTGCCATGTTGCATATCATAATCAATTTTTATAAATGGTGGACTAAGTTAGCAGGAAACAGAATGGACGGACTTTTAATCTTTACATGACGTCACAATTACGGTCGTTCTTGAGTAAACCATCTTCTAAAACCAGCAGCTCTCTTTCTATTGTTCCATCAATTACTTTCTTGAAATGACGGACATTAAGTCCTAGCTATTACGACAGTGTGAAGTTGAATCGTGGGTAACGCTACCTCGTTATTAATTATTCAACTTGTTATTCGAGGTTTAAATATGCAGCTACTCATCACTGGAAGCTGGATGCCAAGTATCCCTCAGAAGCATAAAACACAGCAAAACGACTTCTAAACGAAACACAATCCAAATTGTTATTCAAGCAGCGAATAACCAACTGTTTGTTATTTGTTTTTCACCTCGTTATTCGGGATTCACATATGAAGGTGTTCAGGTATCTTTAGTGAGGATATTTCAGGATTTAATTTAAAACGATTATTAGACAACACTACTAGAATAATGGATTGCACAGAACCCCCTAGCAATAGAAAACTCGTTAAATGACGCATAGTCGTTAAATATTTGAATTATTGATGTCTTCTTAATGTGTAATGTTATAAATAAGTTTGTTAGCTATAGATTTACATTAAGTGAATACAGTCTATGGAACACGGCATAAAACTGGCCTCGACGTTACATATGGGTTCTACATTTGTGTGTCCTAAGTGTCACATTAACGAACAGTGCTAGCCACGTGGCTGGCATTAGAAGAGTATGTACACAAACTGTTCGTAGCCGACTTCGATATTATAAGCTAGATAAGTGGCATTAGAAGGGTATGTTGGTCGCGTCCTGCAACGTCAACTCGTTGCGTGTTCGCTGGGGAACGAGATTACAGACGTGAAATTGAGGAAACTAGTGACGAGAAGGGTTACGGGACGAGTCGCGGTTCCCTTTACAACGACGGTATGGACGACAACGTGGGTACAGATCGCGAAATGAGCATATTGCCAACACCTGCCTCGTTCACGTTTCTCTCCGTACAAGAAAACCGGACACTTTTTCAACTGAAAAATGATATATATGCAAAATAGATAATTAATATCTACATTCAAGTTAAGCCAACTGTATATATTTATTTGTAAGTCACACGTCTAGCAGAATAAACTATATGATTTATTGTAATTAAAATATCAATGGGTGGTTAATAGTGTCTAATTAAAAATTATAAATCTTTGTAGAAATAATTGTATTCATTTGTTTGAGGCGGCATACGGTTACACATATCTCCCAGATAGCACAATGAGCTCTAAAATCAATTGCGTCAGAATGTCGATCTTTGACCTCCCAGGTTATGGACACTTTTTCAACTGAAAAATGATATATATGCAACATAGATAATTAATATCTACATTCAAGTTAAGCCAACTGTATATATTTATTTGTAAGTCACACGTCTAGCAGAATAAACTATATGATTTATTGTAATTAAAATATCAATGGGTGGTTAATAGTGTCTAATTAAAAATTATAAATCTTTGTAGAAATAATTGTATTCATTTGTTTGAGGCGGCATACGGTTACACATATCTCCCAGATAGCACAATGAGCTCTAAAATCAATTGCGTCAGAATGTCGATCTTTGACCTCCCAAGTTATGGAGATTCAAAGACGCAATATAAACTAAGATATCATTATATGCGATAATAACAATAACAATGACACTCTACACTACAAACAAGTCCTATTGCCAACATTCCGTTGTTTTACACCCTGTAGTTTATCTTGTATAGGACGACTACTCTGTTAAAATGTTTAACCTTTTTTAACTGGCAGAAATATTGCCATCTTTTTAGTTGTATTTTATCATTCTTTAACTGGCATTAGTCATTTGCATATTTTAGTATTATGCCCCCAAAATCAAATATCCCCTACTTTTTTTGAATAGTATATATTAAATTCATTTATTATTATAGGGTTAACTAGAGTTAATTATGCAGAATTAATATAACACAACATACACAGATGGCAATAGAATGAGACAGTGTTCAGAAAAAGGGCGGAATAAGACTACCTGTCCTACTTGATTCTAGGACATATATATAGCATGGACCTACTTGATTCGACCAATTTAATACAAGGAAATGAATGGCATAGTTTGTGTCAAGTGAATTTAGTGAACTTTAAACCCCATTTACTCGCCCTCTCTCTACAGAGATAAATACTTTTCGTGTTACATACAATAACAATTATTGGCCATTATTAAAAAAATATATTAAAAGGAAATGAAATTCTGTTACCTGTTTTTCTTTGTGTAGTACATGCTAACATCAATGACTGGAAAAAAAAATAACGAAACTGTAGAGAAACTTCTGAATCATTGAAAGTCTAATATTAGGCCTACACATTGATGACATTGATATAAAAAAAAAGGCTGATTTGTTTGTTGTTGTTTTTTTCTTTTACAGAAATAAGATTACATTTCAACTAAACAACTAACACAAAAGTTAGTATCTAGCTATAGTCCATGTCTGGATACACATTTCTCCTTTTGCCCGAACGTCTATAAAAATCAAAGATGGCGGCCAATAATTGCAACCGGGTATTACTATAAAATCAAGACAGATTCTTACCTGCTGGTCCTAGGCGGGGGTTTCTTGCAATTATAAGTATTTGAACAACGGTGTAGCGCCGATTAGCTAATAATAATTAAGCACGATTTCAGAAAAATTAAGACAGATTCATTAGATTGCTGAATTAGCGGAACACTTTTAGAACACATCAAAAAAATTTTCTTTGTGGCGCCATTATATAAATAGACTTCCGGTGCAGTCAGTGGCAGTAGTTCTAAATCTGACTGTTTTAAACGAAACGAATTATTATATACATAGAAGCAATATATACATGCTAAATTAAATACACGGTTTTATTTTTTGTAAAAATTTACAAACCTGCGTTCTGGTATTCTATGTGACCATTATTATTTTTTTTTAAAATATCACGGCTAAAGCACCCTGTTAATGCTAACTTCACTACATCTATCTAACTGAAAGTCGCTGATATAATATCAAAGAAAGAATTTGTCGCAATGACTAAAGTATAGATACTTCTTCTTAGTTAGTT